TAGCTTTGATTAGATTTGCAGAAACAATACTTGATGTCCAAAATTAACTATTCTAGGCGAACGAAGTCGCTGGCACAGCTAGTTTATATTAAATGCGCCTAAATATATAATTCATACCTTTCTCAAAACTGTAAGTAGATTAGAATACAAATTATAAAGGCGAAGAGAATATCCTTCAATTTTGTCGCAATAATTCGGTTATCTTCAGCATTGTTTAGTCAGAATTGAATTATGTTAATACTATGACGGGATCTTCCCCAAGGAGCTGTGATTAAAATCTTGCCTACTAAATCTTATTTCAAATATTCGGGAAATTGCTGTAACACGTTGGTTAAAGCTAGCACGTATCCATTTTAATTCAACAAAAATTTTTTGATAGCTTAAAAATATATTTTTTCAGTAGCGGGTAGTACATATTTAACGAAAACTCTTTAACGGTTTAAAACACGATATATATTACGGCCCGACGTTGCGGATGCTTTACAGTAGCCGTGGTCAGTCAAGTTAGTTTAATTAATATATATCGCGTTTTAAACCGTTAAAATGTTATATGCCAATAATATATTTCCGTTTCTTTACACTGGCCATGATTACGGGACGACTTTTTTTAAATGAAACAGAAACGCGCAATAGTTTAATACAAATTTTAGGAATTACAATATTTCCTTCTAAAAATAATCCTATATAATTTGATTCAAATTTGAATGATCATTGTGATAAACGGTGTGAGTACAACCAGGAACATCAATTTTATAGTGACCAAAGTACGACCTATAAATATTAACAATATAGTTTGATACTTGAAAACTTATTAAATATTTTCTGACATGATAACACTTAATTATATAACTAATATATCGCGCTTTAAACCGTTAAAGTGTTTTATTTAAACACTTGATATTTCAAAATCGATAAAGAATTAAAAGAATGTACGACACGGGCAAGACTTGAATCGGGATGCACCTTGCTTGCGTGTTATTGCTATAACCAATTGAGCTTCCGTGTCCGTTGTTGTGAATGCCGATTTTTTTTTAAAATTTATAATCGACGTTTAATTAATATAGTTTAGCTTAGAACGGTTTAATTTCTAGTAAGCGCCTCGTATGCATTTATTTTTTACTTTTAAATAATTAGCCATTTTCTAATTGTCCTACTAAATAAAACGAGCTTAGCATCATGTTTATAACGAAAGTTCTTGCGTTATGCGGATTTTGAAAAAAGCCTTTTTAAAAAAGGTATTTATTTATTTCACTTTTATTTATACTTGGCATTTATATTTGGCAGTGCCCCGCCGGAGGATGGGTGACTTGGGAGACTGAAGTAAATTATTTGATACGCCACAGCGATTCTGTTGACAGCGGTTAGCAGGATCGCTTACTCTAAAAAACCCTATACTTATATAGGTTATAACAGTTCGAACGCTGAAGAAATCATTTCTCAGATGGACAAGACACAGAAGTTTCTTATCTCCATGCCTGTAAATAAAAAGAATCAGTGAAACGCACACTGATATTTTTGTCCCATGCCCCATAATGGAAAAGGTTCTCACAATATGACGTAAAGATATTAAACACTGTGTAACTAATGAGTTGCATAATGATGTGCAAATTAAAAGCTATCAGCCTGCGGGCAACGACGTGTGAATGGTTATCACCGGAGTGGAAAATGGTTGAATTAACTTCTAGTCTTAGCGTTTCATATTAGATCGCACTTGCTGTGTTAGCGACTACGTTCGCGAGAAACGTTTATTTTTAAACCCTTTCGTCTTTATAGACTTAAGCTGATGCCCACGATGTCGGTCGCGTTCCTTCCCGTCGTTCCTGCAAGTTGATCTTAAAAGATAGATCTATAGGGTTGCGGACTTTATTTAGATCACTAAAATCACTCTTTCCTACATATTTTTTAACCAACACAAATATAATTTTTCAATTCGAACCCGTAGTTCCTGAGATTAGCGCGTTCAAACATACAAACAAACAACCGAACTCTTTAGCTTTATATAGTAGTGTAGATACAGATTTGATTTGATTTAATAGCTTGTAACAAGATGAAAAGTATTTTTACAATTCTATTTACATTATATAACATACTAGCTGTGCCCGCGACTTCGTCCGCGTGAAATAGTAACTTGGGGCATAATTTTTAATTATTGAGGCTGTTTATTAATGTATGTTAGGGCGCATTTAAGGCAGCTAATCTATGGTAAGCGCTTCTTTGCCGCAACACTCTCACCTAGCATCACTCCTACTCTAACTCCCACTCTCATTCCTACACTACAACCCCCTTTTCGTAATAAAAAGCCTATGTCCATTCTCAGGGTCTAGACCATCTGTATACCAAATTTCATTAAAATCCGTTTAGTAGTTTTGGCGTGAAAGAGTAACAGACAGACAGACAAACAGAGTTACTTTCGCATTTATAATATTAGTAAGGATTATGTACCTACTCATTTGTAACAACAACCTGTAGTTGTTATATTACAGTTATCTTTTTATTTTTAGAAACGGTAATATATGTAGAATGTAAGATTGTAATATAACGTTGGTGGACCTATATAAATAAAAATAAACCCCTTAGGCCTGGGACGTGTTACCAAAAAACTAAACATTGCTTAGACCGTTAGAAGAACGTTATTGTTTACGAGTAAATAATATTTTTAATTGAAGGATTTGTTATGTTTATTTTATAGTAAATAAAGTAATAATAGTAGTAATTAATAATTATATAACCAATTTAATAAGCAATTCTGTATACTAAATTCACTTTGATCTTAATATAACTGCAGAACTAATCATCTAAAAAATCTAGTGAAAAAGTAATTGTGATTAATTCCGAGTTGTTAAAATATTGCCTTGAAAAGCCAAAGAAACTGACTACGAAACAAACTGACGGGTGAAAATGGCGAGTTAGCTAATGAAAAAAAAATATTTTAAAAATTAATTCAAACCACTTCAGATAATATGTGAATAATCATATTGTACATTTCTATTAAATTGAAATCGTTTATTGCCAATATTACTAAAGTTAAGAGTACAAAAGCAAGGGCATAATCTGTTATGTAGTACACCGCTATATAATACCCAATAACTATTAAAATTCGCGGAGCACTTTCCTCTCCTCGCTTTTGATCCTCGTTAATGGAATTTCTATGTCGCACTTCGTGATTCGGCACAATTTTCTTTGGGAAATCCTGACAAGTTACAAAATTATACACGTCGCTTGAGTTTCATCTACCTCGTACCTTACGTACGTCGTTATAAAGTCGTACGTATTTTACCAATACGTTAAATATCTTATTTTATTTTTTGTCTCTGAATTTGCTTAAAACTATTTTATCATCTTTAATTCTTAGTAATCTATCAACCAAGCCATATCTATTTTAGTTTTGCTTATCAAAATACCGCAGTTTTATTTAGGTACCACATATTTATCGAAGTAAAAATCTATTATTGATTGAAACAATTTACGACTCGAGCAAGGCTTTTTGCTCTCTATCGATCTTTAGTTCATATATGTAGTACCATCATGTGCAATAATATGTGAAAAATATTAAAGTTTTGACACATATTTATCGCCTAAGCAACCGCCTATAACATTAATTAATGAGTACCATCGAAAGCAGTTTAGCCGTTTTCAGTAAATTATCCAGTAATTAACGTAATCTTCTTGCGAATTTGCTATAATTTAGAAAAATGCATTTAACACAACGGAATATAAGGAATATTTATTTAACATAATTTGATAATTCTTCACAAACAAATATTATACTGACGCCATGTTAAAATGTAGAAATAAAATACAAATACAGTTACAACTAATTTTATTTTGTACACCATAATGTAGAACAGATTTCATTGTTTCTTTTCGTTTAAGAAAATAAGTTTATAATTATTTTACATAAATTTCTTTAAATATACTTATATCTTAGAGGCAACTTTATTTTTTCAACAGTTATATAGATTGAAACAAATCTACTTAACGCTACTTTCACATACTTACTATTAAATGGAATAATGTTTAATCTCTCACTAAGTTGCTACATTGCATGTTTGCATGACTTTTAAAGTTGAATCGATATTATTTATATCTAGCCAAAAAAAATGCTACATTATACACCACACAGCTGTTACGGTTTTAGAAAAAAGTAACATATGAATTAATAAAATTACAAACTCAACAAATAGATACTTAAAAACTAAGAAAATGTATATTTTCAATACTAAGGTGATATTAGTCTTCAGGAGCATTAAGAACTACTAGCGTCTAAAAAACAGTTGTTTACATTCCTTTTTTGAGTAATTTTCATGTACCTCACAGTTTTAAATTTAGATTTCAAACTCCTTGTTCTAGAAAGAAACAATCTTACTTTAATCTTTATAATTTTGACATGTATTTAAGCGACCCAGCGACCAACTGTGTATTGTGCAATCCATACAGACTTGGCATCTTAGCATTTAGAATGTACTGTGTCCCGCTTGTGTCATAAATTTTTCAATATAGATCATTTTTTCATAATGTTGGTACACAATCACAAACAATAGACATCTTAAAAATTCATGTCCTGCACTCACATTCCCTGAACTCCTTTCAAGAAAAATTTAATTACATTAATTTACACACGAATTGTATCTATCAATCAGCTATATATAGTGATACAGTACCATAAATGTCTAAGAATTTAAAAATTGTGTTACACCCCTTATACAAACAGGAGTCCTTATGAAATTCTTATACAAAGCATAAGGTAACTGTGCTTTTCTAATATAACAATCACTCCACCACAAAATTAAACATTGACATTTACTTAGAAAAATATTTTAATTAGTTGACTTATTTTATAAAGTCAACCGCACACAGACTCATCTAATATTTAGCTGAAAATTAAATTAAGTTAACTAAATATCTAACACATTAAGTAAATTATGTAAGTATTGTGCATAACTAACAAAAATTTACAGAGAGTTAAACAGTATCATTTTTATTTAACAGTTGTATTATTTTTAAAATTGTACCCAGTTTTGTTGATTTGCAGGAGTTGTTGGTTTTGGCTGTTGGTTTTGACTTGCAGTTCTGAAATTAAAATAATTGATTGACTTAACAAAAAATATATATTTTAGTTACCAACCAAATAGTATGGCAATTCCAAAGAGTATTATATATTATAACTAGAACATAAAAGCAATCTGTATGGAAATTACCCTGCAGAGTTAAAATCTCCCCATTCAGTACTGGGTGCTGTAGCAGATGGGGTTGGCACATGTTGCGGTGAAGGTGGTGGAGGCAGTTTGGAAGCACCAGGAGGGGGAGGAAGAAGACCTACACCTCCTGCCCCGCCTGTACGTCGAGGTCTACTAACATCACCTCCATCTTTTTTCTGGAACAAAAATTTGCTAAATTCTGTCTATAGTTTACGCGAGTAGTACACATTTAAATAAAACACTTTAACAGTTTAAAACGCGATATTTTGACGGCAGAGACATCCTCCATCTTTAGTCTCTCCGTGACCACGGCTACGAAACGTCGGGCCAAAGTTAAAAATCATTTTCAAATAAGTTTAACTAATATATTGTGTTTTAAACCGTTAAAGTGTTTTATTTAAAAATTTGCTATGTATATAACAATATACATTAAGGCACAGAACTATAGTGCAAGCATGATGGTCCCAAACATACGAAAGGAGATACATAGAGAAATAAGGAGACTTGGGGAAGAATTAACTAGGCAACCTTTGTTAATAACCCCTACCCCAGCTAGAGTAAGCAAGGAGATATATATTCTGTCCTATATTTGTTTAAACTTACTGTTATTTTCATGTTAATTTTGATGGTTTCGCCTTCCTTGAAACTTAAATCGAGTTGTTGTTGTGATCCATCTTCAGTCTCTTGTTCTTTTCTCAAATACTTGAAATGGTCTTGTAGTGCAACATTAAGGTCAAAAGAATCTGATCTATCTCCAAAGCCGAGGCCAATGTAAGCACTTCTGCCTATTAAACAATAAATAATGTCAACATACAGAATTCAGAAAACTTAATAGTGATACATTTATAATAAGGTAGCATATTCTTAAAATTATAAAATGCCATAATATATAAAATATAATCATTCAACGGAGAAAACGAAATATCAATTAAAGGGGGCGTAAATATTGGACTTTTAATCTTACCATTGTCGTCTTGAATTCTGACAACGAAATAACGGGAACTGTCGGTGACAGACTCTAAAGCAACTCCTGGGTATTTATCTATTGGGCATTTTGCAAATAATTCACCAGATACTTTATCCTCCAGTTTCATTATTAACTCATCTCCTTTCGAAACTAAACGCATACGCCCCGTCCATTGTGGTTCTTGTAAATTCCAATCAGCTGCCCTAAACAGAATTTTGATGTTAGAGCAGTAACTGTTTACATTAATTTACAAAACATTTTAAAACATACCTGTAGCCTCGGTTAGTAGTTCTTGGGGGTATTTTGAACACAAAAACTTCATTCTTAACTAGCAATACACTCTCGTACGTGTCCATTTTCCCTTAAATAATTGACGTTTTGATAACTTTCTCTTTACAAATAATATGTGCAGATCAGATTTATATAAACATGTAACATACAAAATGATCAATGCAACGATAAAGTTTATATTAAAGTAGTTTTATAATCAATAATGACTAAAATCCGACCGTAAATGTCTAAGAACAATTAATGATAATAAATAAAATCTCTCTATAGATCGTATCTATCATTCTCTATTAAACAATTTATAAAATATTGTCTTTGAAAAAAGAAAAACAGTCTGTATTTTGTGTACATTCTATTACCTATGTCTATGGAAAGAGGTTATCTGTAGAAAAATAATAGTCATAAAATACAATATATAGGTTGATGAAATATATTGTAAACAATTGTTTGTAATTACTACTTTCAGTGATTATACGTACGTATAATTAATTACTAACTTTAAATTGAGTAAATATACGCATAGGGGCAACAGCTAGCCAATTTAAAATATCAAATAACTCGTTTACAACACATTATTTTACCAATTGTAAATAGGTTAGTTAATTATTTTCAACAAATTTTTTATTTAATTTGAAAATATTCCTACGTCTTAATAATTTTACAAATTCCCTCATTAAATTTGAGTAATAAATTCATACATCATATCAAGTTATATTTTGTTTAATTTCAAATGGAATTCAATAGGAAAAAATATTTATCAAATAGTCTACAGCTGTGAGAGAATATTGTTATATAATTTTGTTTTTAGTTGAGAAAGTTCCCGGAAAAATTCTTCATCATCAATAATGTCTTATGTAAGTATTTTTATAACTCAATCTTTTTAAGTATGTGTCTAGTGAAGTGTTACAACATTGCATTATTCATATCATTACAAGTGCACTTGAAAGCGGATAATAGCTGTTTTTAATAAATTCTCTTCAATGTATAATAGAATGATACAAACTGTTGGTTCAAACTATAAAAGATATAGTACCCTAGATGGTGCTTTAGTATCTAGTTTACTGTGCGTAATCAATTATTGTAGGTTCCAGTATGTTTGTTTATTTATATATATAGTCTTTTGTGTGATTCTTGTCTCAATAACAAGGACATTGTTAAATGTTAAAATAGAATTGGGCTTGTTTAAACAAATAAAAGGTTGATTAACACTAACTATTAATGAGTGTGAAGCTGTTTTGGATGATATTATTTATCAAATCATACATTATTTTTTCTTTATTAAGTTTAATTGATGTTATAGTGGTGATTATTTGCCTTTTATATCAAGACGAATAATGTTTATTTATTTTAAACATGAGGGATATATATATTAAATTGGAAACAAGTGCGCCCTATTTAGGTACTGTAGGATTCTAAATGTGACTCATAACAAATATTTCAATTCATAATAGGTGGTTAAATCTGGTCTTAGCAGCTAAGAAATCAACAGGAACTGCAGTACTTGTACACTGAGGTTCTTGTTACCTTATTGTAACAAGTATGGGGAATGTGAACGTGTATGGGATTAAATTTTCCCGCACTTCCAAAAAACATGAAAACAACGATACGCCCCGATAAGTGCAGGCAAGTAATACTCAGTAAACATTTGTTTACTGATTATTACTTGCCGAAATCAGACAGCGAGATCTAAAAAAATCCCTTGTATACCTGATATTTTATATCGTAATGTTTAACATAACAGGGCATGGATTAAAAAATATTTTTAAAATATACATGATCAATTTTGTATAAGTTTAAATTTTAAATAAATTTTGCTTGTATTTCACAAGTCATAGACAATATTTTTTGTAGAGGCGGGCGATTATGAGATATACTAATGAAATCATTCGATTATGAAAATGTCTCGAAATATCTCGATTATAACGGTTACTAATACAAGCAAGTAGAGGTGGAAGATTATGAGATATACTAATGAAATCATTCGAATGAAATATTAGTATTAGTAACTACTAATATTTCATTCGGGAAATATTAGTAGTTACTAATACTAATATTTCATTCGAAGACTAGTAAGAAAAAGTGAGTCGATTATGAGATATACTAATGAAATCATTCGATTATGAAATGTTAGTAGTTACAATAGAGAAGGATAATTAGTAGTTATTAATATTTCTAAGTTAGGACAGCGCACTATGGTTTCTCGCTTGCTATCACGTCACATACAAACGTCTAGTTTAAGGTCGGTGACCCTTTTATTATTTTTTTATTACATATCATATTCTATTGGAAGATCGTATAATAACAATAAAACTAGAAGAATATTTGATATTTGTTGATATTTTTTGGCCTTTTATTGTTTTTGTATTTAGGTTTCCCAAATAATACCATTACTAATTTCTTCTAAGATGTTCGCGGCAATTTAAAAAAAAAAAAAAAAAAAAAAAAAATTATGAGAAAAAAAAAAAAAAAAAAAGGGGATTAAAAAATTTTTTAGGAAATAAAAAAAAAAAAAAAGGAAAAAAGAAAAAAAGGAAGGGGGGAAAAAAATTTTTTTTTTTAGGGGGTTTTTTAAAAAAAAAAAAAAAATTTTAATTTTTTAGGAAGGAGGGAAAAAAAAATTTTTTGGTGGTAAGTAGTGGTTTGAAAATAAAGATCGGTCAATTTATTTTAAATATAATAAATCCACTAAAAGTGAAAAGGGCCACGTCTGACAATATCTTAGTAAACAAAACAAACTACACCAGTATTTAAAAGTATCTATTATTGTTTAAACAACTAAAGTCAAGGAGTGCATGATTAGTATTACTAATTAGTAACATCATTCGATTATGAAAACAAATTAGTTACTAATCCCATAATCGATTACCAACAGTAGTAATACAAAATAAATCGATTATGCCGATCATTCATAAGCTCTGATTTTGTGTAGTTTAATCATGTAAGTTCTGTACTACAAAATACAGGCAACACTTAGTCACAAAATGGCGATAGAGATAATAGGTGTAAATATTGAGTGGTGTTTCTTTATTGTGTCTTTTAACTCATTATTAACAAAATGTAACTTGATAATGAAATACTTATAAAGCAGAGAGCTTTTTATTTGAAGAGAATCTTGAAAAAAGCTATGTGAAAGAAGAATAAACATCGTTTGCATTCAATGAATCGGGCGTCGAGCATCTTCGATGCGTAAAAATGGGAGACTTCCATATATTGCGCACTGCGACGACTGTTTTTGTGCTAATATGTTTTGCTCGCGCTGACAACTACGAATGCCCTCAAAAATGTGATTGCTTGAAACAATATGTGGACTGTTCAGGAAAGAATTTGGTAACGGTGCCAACTATTCCTAAGTGGGTGGAACAACTCGATCTAAGCCATAACAAATTGAACGAAGGCGTCACGGAAGGGTTTGATAAGTTACTCTCACTAAAAATATTGAAATTAGATAAAAATTCTTTACGAAATATTCCCAGTTTCCTTGGACAGGATCAAGTACAAGATGTTAGTCTAAATAAAAATGGTATCTCAATTATTGGCACCGGTCGGTTTCCCACTAACTGCTCTATTAGATCATTGAGTTTAAATAGTAATCATATAAAACTTATACAGGATGAAGCTTTAAATAATCTGACAAACCTAGTCACTTTGAAGTTAAACAGAAACGAAATATCATCCCTCCCGCACCATTTGTTTATGTATCAATCTAATTTAAAAACATTAGAGCTAAATCACAACAAATTATATATTATCAATGGCCTACTTTTTCAAGGATTATCTAATTTGACAACTTTAAGGATAAGATTCAATAGCATAGAAAACATAATGGATGGAGCATTTTTGGGATTTAAATCCGTGAGTGTTCTGCAGCTGGATCACAACAAAATAAAAAATATTTCTAAAGGTTGGATGTATGGACTTGAATCATTGACAACATTATCATTATCAAATAACTTAATATCACACATTGATATTGGTTCTTGGGAATTGTGTTCAAATTTAGAAGTTTTGGATTTATCTCATAATTATTTAATTCAAATAGAAGGCAGAAGCTTCCAGCATTTGGTTAATCTACACACATTGAATTTAAGCAATAACAATATATCCTCTATATCTCAAGAAGCATTTAGTCACATAATAAAATTAAAAACATTGTTCTTGAATGGTAACAAAATATCATGGACAGTTGAAGATATGTCTGGACCATTTTCAAAGTTGCAAAACTTAGAATTATTTAGTTTGTCTTCTAATCACATTAAATCCATTAGTTCTAGGGCTTTTGAAGGACTGACCAATCTAGTTGAATTAGATTTGAGAAGCAACAACATCACATCTATTCAACAACATGCATTTGATTCACTAAGCAAAATAAGAAAGTTACATCTGAATACTTCATCTTTGCTTTGTGACTGCAATATATTATGGATGGTGAAATGGATTAAAGAAAAGTTGGAACAAAAATTTGTTACTGCAACATGTGCTTATCCAGCTGAAGTAAGGGGAACATTACTGTCGAAACTAAAAGAAGAAAATTGTGGAGATTCACCTAAACCTAAAATAGTCAGCCATCCTAAGTCCCACTTGGCAATTAAGAACCGTTCAGCCAATTTAGTATGTTCAGCAACATCAAACCCTTTTAGCAATATGACATTTTTATGGAGAAAAAACAATGGAAATATTAGTAACCCTGTAGTATATGAAAATGTTACATTAACAAATAAAGGACAACAGGCAACTTCAGTTTTGGTAATCCCGGATGTCTCGCACATAGACTCTGGAAAATACCAATGTGTTGTCAGCAATAAGTTTGGGACAACATACTCTACAAAAGCTAAAATGAATATTGTGACATTTCCTAGATTTTTGAAAACACCTACAAATGTTACTGTTAGAACTGGTGAGACAGTGACACTAAATTGTGCCGCTACAGGTGACCCCCCACCAGAAATTTCATGGAAAAAAGATGGAGGAAATGATTTTCCTGCTGCTAGAGAAAGAAGAATGAATGTAATGCCTACTGATCATCTGTTTTTTATTGTAAATGCAAAACCTACAGATATGGGTGTTTATAGTTGTGCTGCTAAAAATCCTGCAGGAACCATAATTGCAAATGCAACACTTAGTGTCTTACAAGAACCATCATTCATCAGGGTTATGGGTAATAAAGAGGTTACAAGTGGAGAACCAGTTGTTTTGGAGTGTATGGTGCAGGGCTCTCCAAAGCCCTCATTGAAATGGTCAAAAGATGGAATTCCTATTGCTCCATCTGAAAGGTATTATCTTGCTGGAAATAATCAGCTATTGATAATCATTGGAGCTAAATCAAGTGATGCAGGGCATTATGAATGTGAAATTACCAATGACTTGGGTTCAAAGAAGGAAATAATAGAGTTAAAAGTTTTACCACCAGTTGCAATTATGGTCAAAGAAGAAAATATGACAGGTATCATAATTATAACGGTGGTTTGCTGTGCAGTCGGAACCTCTATAATTTGGGTAGTTATTATTTACCAAACGCGCAGGCGTATGGCTGGTGCCATGTGCAGCTACCCAGCTGAGAGTGTGAAAATGACACAAGTAGTGCATAGTGATAGTGATTCACCCCATTTGTTCCCTGATAATATATCTGAACACTCTTCATGCAAAGACAGTGGAACAGGGGACTCTGCAAAACAAACTAGTTTTGATGGTGTGCCCACCGATAGAAGTGAACCAGTGCATTTTGAGACTGCTGTATGTCATAGTTATTCCCCAGTGCCAGAAGCCCACAAGCTTCTTCCCTCTTCCTTTAAGCCATCTATTCAAGTGTGTGTAAACACTTGTGTTACACCAGCTACTTATAGTTTTTCTAGTCACAACAGTAATGTATAAGCCTTAAAGAATTATCTGTATTACATTTCCAATGTTTCAATATTATTGTTAAATTATACATTGCATTTTCACTAACTCACTATATCAACATTATTTATTATTGTTATATCAGCCCATAATTGTTATACATTCATTATTCTTATTAGAAACTAATATAATGTAATACATGAAACTTATTGAGTGCCTCAGTATTTTTAATGTTAGTGGAAAAGCATTGTCCATTAGAGTTGTATATAAATTACTTTTAGTACAAAATGTAATACTTGCCAGTATTGGTTTGATGTAAAGACTGAATGTCATTTGTGTTTGTATGAACCTTGTTATTTTCTTATCTTTATACTTAGGGTAAGGTAGTCTTGTAAGATTATGTTAACACTATGGTATGTATGTGTTGTCAGTTGGTGTGGTCTTCATGCTGGGTGGTGCATGTGATTTGATGTAGCTTTATAACGATTATTATGCTTGATTTGTGTTTATTGCTAAGAGATTCCTAACCGTACAATCCAGATAACTTGTAACAATTATTACTAGAGTATGAGACATTTATAATACTAGACAATATCTTATTTAAGGAAGTAATCTATCTAGATAAATTTTAAAGTCTGATTCATTTTGCAGCTATATGCTATAACATTACTTTAACTACATTCAACTGAAAATAGTATTCTGAATAGTTGACTTATATTAGAAAAAAATATTTTGTCAAATCCACTATCACTCTTATGTTGTTTTATAAGTGTGAAGATTTTAGGTAAGAATTTAGCTCATTAAATAAAATAAGCTAAAATTGTCCAGAGATTAAAATGGCATTAAAGAAATAGTTATTATGTTGTTAAATACTAACAATGAAGTATAGAACAATAACTTTTTTAAATTCAAAACTTGACATCATATTTTTGTGCCGCTACAGTGCCTTTTATTTTAGTTTTTGTTACAGTTAGAGTAAAGATATAGAAGCCTAGAAAATAATTATCGTCATTATTTCACAGATTCAATTACCATTGATTTAACAGATTTAATTAATCTAATACAGTCTGCTACACTTTTTAATTTATTCATGTCGTTGGTGACATATTAGAAGCATTTTCTATTGCTTGATCATTTTGGTCACTGTATGTATAGTGACGCTCTATAATTTTGTAAATATAATGTTAATTTTTAAAATAAGCAGCTATTTATATGTACTTTATAAAATAAAATTGTTTTAAGTAAAACAGTTGTTTTCTTTAATTCAAAGGTTTGTGAATAAGGCCGTTTAGGAAAATAATTACCACTTGAACTTAAAAGTATGTTTAGTTTTGGAATGCAAAATGTTTCAGCCATCAGTTGTTTGCCCCAGCAAAGCTAAGAGAAATCTTCAAATAGCTTACTGTTTTAGCCAGGTTATGGACCAGCGCAAGGAGGTCAGTTGGAAATTGGACACGGTCCCTATCCATCCATGGGCCCCGCAGGAACAGTTTCGCCCCAAGTACAACAATGGTTTCGAGCTGTAGACAAAGATCAATCTGGTTTTATTACGGCTCTAGAATTGAAATCTGCATTAGTAAACGGTCAAGGACAGACATTTTCTGAGACAGCCTGCAATTTGATGATAGGTTTGCACTTTTAAATGATTATACATTAAAGTGACATATTCCTAAATGATCTTGTTAAAAATTAAATTTCGTTTTATGATTTTTTTTACAATTTCTGATCAACCTTTTTTTGAACCAATACGTTATGGGCAAATGCAAATTAATTTTTCTTTCACATTTTAGGTATGTTTGACAAAGATCTATCCGGTCATATAAACTTAGAGGAGTTTGATAAGTTGTATACCTACATAAATCAATGGTTGGCTGTATTCAAAACGTATGACACCGACCAGTCGGGGCATATTGAGGAGCCAGAATTGACCCAAGGTAATATAGATGTTATTTTTAAGTAATCTAAATGAAATGTTAATAGCGTTTATTCACAGGCAAATAGGTATTTAAACAATTCGAAAAATTAGAAATACCTACTTATTACGTTTTCACAGGAAACGAACAATTACTAAATTATGTAATTATTTAAAACTTACTTGACTTATCTGTTCAACAATTACATTATTAATTAAAAAGTTTATGCAATACGAATATTTTCCTTCAGTCAATTTTAAAACATAATTGATTTTTTTAGCGTTGGGTCAAATGGGATTCCGATTTACTCAAGAATTTATCAATTTCTTGACGAAACGGTGTGGTCCAGAAGGAAAGATATCTGTTGACAATTTTATTGTTCTGTGCGTTCAATTGCAACGATTCACGGAAGCATTTAGAGTACGGGATACGCAACAAAATGGAACTGTCACTATTGGCTTCGAAGACTTTTTAACTGTAGCGTTGAGTTGCTCTATTTAAGTAAAATAATAATAGAAAATCTTTATTTAATATAAACTGAAATACATTGCCAGTAAACTAGGATGTCAACTAAGTGGCTTTATACTGTACGTTTCATAGAAATCGTTGCATTCTTAGACTTTTAAGGCCGGCGTTTAATGTTTACTTATGTTATACTTTTTAGCCTTTCAAATTTAGCTAAAATAATAGAGGCAGATTGCTGATATACATAGCTATGCATAATGAAGAGAAATGCTGATGTGCGATTGTATCTTATAAATAATTATACATTTTTTTTAAGAGTATCTTTTTTTTTACTAGCGCATATATGCGATATCACAATAAATAATAATAATATAATTTAATTAATTTAGCGGGAACAATGTTTTAATTTATAATTTAAAGTGCACATAATTTTTTTAATAAAACAAAATATATAAAAAGATGTTTCCTTTTATTAACCATGCAAATATCTTATTTCAAAAGTCAAGGGATATACCTGTAACAAGAAAACAATGTATTATTAAAATTGTATACAGAGCCATGTATATTTTTTTGAAATAGTATAAAATTGCAATTATTATTTTTCAAGTGAGGGAAGGGGTTGAAATTACAATGCATGGAGCATTGCATTTTCAAAATGTACAAGAAAAAATGTAATGCCGTAGGATCGATTCCCAACGGGTCTCGGTCTCGGGTCGGATTTATAATTTTTCTGAAACATGTTGGACTTTGGAAGTCTGGATATTAAATTGGTGGTATGAATATTAAAAATTCCGTCCGGGTCACGATCCACCGTCCACAGATGAAAAAGCTGAATTTAGATGCTGAGGTATATCACTTGTCTGTCCTCCTCTATCGTAAAAAAAAAAACTATAAATTCATTGGGGAAAGGTGGGGTAGCTCAACTAAACATGACGGTACACTGTAGCCATGAGTTAAATGAAGTCTGAATGGGTCGTATTTATTTGTGCAACTCACTTGTTTCAGTTTTTCTTCTAAGCGCTTCAGTTTTTTCCAATAAAAACACGACTTCTTGAAAGCTTTTTATTGCCGTTCTCATGTTGGCTTCGTGTTGCGTGTTCTCCTTAGCACTGTCATCAAGCAGTGTATGAATTGTTGGGACACTGTCCAGTTTCATACTGTTGATGTTCTCAGGTTTAAATACAACAGAGACCTATTACAAATAAATTGTAGTACAAGTTAATAAAAATAAATCTCTAAGTTAATTTTAAAATGATTTAGAATTCGCAAAGACACTTGCAAGAGCAATAATAAAGTTTGAAAGCAATTTATTTGCTTCCCTTTTTTAATTGATAAAAGCATTACAAAAAATTAAAACGACAGTCTTAAAAGCTTAGTGGGCTTGGTAAAAATTTTCTAATCAATTTATATATTTTCTGAACGATGACTCATCTGGAAATCTGGATATTACATGGGGAAATGGTCAGCTCATAACATGGACTGATCACCCGTCCTACCACAGGTGACCCAAAAAAAAAAAAAAATGGGTGATCATAATATTGAAATTCCATCAGGGTCACAAACCACTGTCCATAGAGGAAAAACTCAGCTTAACTTCAGTCTGATGATTTCCGAACATCAGAAGCCAAAATAGGTAGACAGTGCATCTTGTGTACATGCTATAGCCTGGGGTATTTCACCTACCATCAAGTGGAACCCATGCTTGTCTTTCCTCCTCTATCATCAAAAAACAAATACCTTTCCAGTTTTCGGATGTATACTGAATGGTGATTTAAGCAAGTGATTAAATCCCTTTGTAACATGGACGTCTAGTCTTGGATAGCAATACTGTATTTTAATTTCTTCTATAAGATACTTAATTTTTCTCACGTTGTTCTGTAAGAAAATGAATCATAATTAAATTATTTATTACAAATTACTAAAACCAGTACTTTTATTATTTTTCTTTTTTTAACTTTCTATATAAGACTTCTTTTCTCTATGTTAGGCGTGCAATATAACAAAGAAATCCTGCCTGTGTCATAGATAATTTTTCGTTTAAGATAAATTTAAAAACCTACATGTTTGCAAAATTGATTATAGATTTGAATAAAGGCCTCCCATCTCTCTAATGATGAAGGAGCCAGTTTGTCCAATGTCTCCTCAGTCTGTTTTCGTAAAGTCTCATCTGGTATTACTCGTAACAATTTGCTTAACCCTTCTTTAGTAGAAAAGAACTCTTGTTCCTGTACTATGATATTAAAATATTTGTCAATTATGTTGATACTTCTCCTAAAATACATATAAATGATTACAATATTTTCGATACTATGCAGAAAAAAACATTACTAGATAGATTTAAAAAGTGTTACCTTATGCTAGAATGCAGATTATCACCTACCAAATTTACTTTCTTATTTTGATTATCCCCACCAGTAATAAGGCACAAATAATCTGCAACTGCAGTTCTTCCAGGACTATCTAAAGTTCTAGCATCATGATCTGATACCCAGCAATGAATACCACGTCTTCCAGAAAACACCCATAATATGTTTTGAAAACCAAAGTCTTCTGAAATAATAAAATATTGATTACTTAGTTATTTATACTAGGAACTGCATATGATAGTAAGTCTTAAAAAAATTGAACTTACCTTTTAAGGCTGTGTTAATTACTTCACAAGCAATAACCATAAATCTCCAACATTTATCACAGACGTTAGCTTCTTGACAACATGTTCTTATCTCATCATAATCTGTAAGATCTATATCAAAAACAAGTTCTCTTGCCAGTACTATAGCATCGTGACGTCCTATTGATGGTCTAAAAGTAAAGATCTTTTATAAGACTAGGACATAATACCCTTTATATGATGAATCATATACTACTTCAAAGTTCTTTCTTAGATTCTTCTACAAGCATAAATTTGTGTAGAGCTCCTTTTAAAACATAAGCAAGAATTCCATCAATCATGTCTTGCTACTTACTTTATGTTGTACACAGGGCCTATATCTAACTTGTGCGGACATTTCTTTTGAAAAAGTGTTTGTAACTCTTTTTGATTACTTATAGATAAATAACGAAGATACACATCGTCTGCTAGAGTAAATGATAATTCTCGATTCGCAAGAGGCTGTGGGTAATTTCCACATGATAACCATCTACAAAACAAACTCTGTGGAAAGTGTCTTGAATAGTATATTGGCAACATATCTGATAGCATGCCTTCATCATATTGTTTCGCCTAGAAATAAAAAATAACAGATTATGAAGTGAAGGTAATTTTTATTTCATATTCAGAGTTATAATGTATTTATTAGAAATAGAAATAATACACATATTTTGTAAACTTACCATTTTTGTCTTAAAAGTATACCGCTATTTTCTTAAGCTATGCAAGGAAAACAAAAAGCGTACGCTTAAGCAATAGTAAACAAAAAATACTTTAAGATGCCTTTGTTAAAATGGTAAGGAAAGTATTTCTTAGTTGTGTTATTATGTAGTACAAACATAAAGGAATATTATGTATTAAAAACTATTCGCGGGAAATCTAGAGCGAATGACAAATAGTCAAATAAATAAAGTTTCATTATACAGATATGATAAAGATCCTATTTGTAGGACTATCTGTGTAAATACCCACAGACTGATAAAATGCTACTGAAATCCCTGAAATCATAGACAAAACAAAACATAAATAGTTATCAAGGTAGCATTTTATTATATTTTTGCAAGTTATTTACCTCCTTGTAGAGATATCGAGAACATATTTTTCTTGTTACTTATAAGCTGCAAAGCTTAAAGGTCGTATAATAATAATTCTAAACGATGGAAGTTAATATAAACAATGCCTTTATGTTATCGACAAAAATTTCTTTGGGTAAGTTTAAAAAGCTTTAGAATTAGAGATATATTGTGTATTTGAGGTGCCTACCTCTGAATGTAGGTAATTATATATTTTAACCTTTTAATATTACATGGTAATACCGATGATAGCGTCAGCGCCTTCGCTTTAAAACATGTTAAGAACTTAACTACAATAAATTTTTCACACGAAAATTAATTAAACGGGCTCATTATATTATTATTTTCAGAATATGAAACTAAAATTTTCCATTATAAGTATCTTAGAAACAAGATTACAAAGGAATTGATTAAAATGATGCAGTACTTACTAGGAAAACCTTTGTTAACAACAACATTATTGTTCATTTTATCTAGTGCTATATCAATAGCACTAACGACTTCGATACTATTATTTTTTAGCTCATTTGTTACTGTTGGATCAATTTTAATAGTAGAAGGTATGTAAACAAATAAACATAATTTGAAGTATATACCTACGTAATAAATATAAAACGTCTTAATGCTTAAGGGGAAAAAAAATTGAAATTAAATTTAAAGTTAATTAATTATTGGAATAAATTGCTTGTGATTAAATTACCTCCAATTAAATTACATTAAAAATACACATAATATAATGAAAACCAATAAATATATTCAAAGCAATATGTTATCGTTGGAAGGAAATTTTAAGTGAGAAATAATAGATGAAACTTCTTTTCAGGTTTAACATTGCTTTTGTTGCTGATCCTTTTTATGCAAGTTCTTATAATTTTTATTATGAGTTTAATGTTAATAACAGTTCCTTTAAGAATTTTTGCAAAGGGGTTTAAAATAATGTAGAATATTTATATACCTTGATTGATCCATTGATAAATCATGATTGATTTGATTTATTTTATAGATTTTGCAAGTACCAAAACTCAGATTGTACAAAATGTAATATTTTTATTCTATCTTTTTCTGTTTAACCTGTGACATAAAGGTGATACATACATAGTCTAGTCTGTGCGATTAGTGTTGCTATTAAAAATATTACATGAAAATTGTGATAGTTGACTGAAACACATACACATAATATTTAAAATTTTGACAGTTTCCTACTGTCTTCAGAAAAGAAATAGAGTAAATCTGTGTGGAATATGAATAAAAAATAATAATCAAAATTTCGACACAATTATTTAAATACTTGTAGTTCTTAACAAAGGGACTCCTAGTACTGTTTCATTTTTCTTACATATCTGTACTGTTTTACAAATTAATGTCCAAATCAGGCCCCATAATTTACATCATGATGATTCTGGGACTGCAAAGTGGTGTGTGTAGTGGATTTTTCATGTAATTTTGCCGTAAGTACCTTTATTCTGTCCTTCTATTAGTCTTAACTTTTATTTTTAATTCAAAAGTGCACTCTTTATGTTTAAAATTATATTTTCTATTAATCATAAACAATTGGAATAAAAGAGTACATATCATTTGTATAAACACTGTGTTATAATTTTAATAAGACGCACAAATTAACTAACTAACTTCTCTCTTGAATTTTTGGCATACTATGATAATTTCATATCATTTTTGTTTTGTTTTTAGATAATGTGTATATGGTATACCAGCTGGAAATTAAACAAGTAAAACATTGTAAGTTTATGTTATATACAAATTTTGACATTAATAATTATTTTGAAGACTGTAACTGATAAAAAAAGCGAGAAAAGTATAAAATCTAGTACTTATTAACAGATGAATATGTTTTTAAAGGATTAAAATAATTATAATCCAAACTTAGGATTGCTTGCATAGCCTGTCTACAAGCTTTATATATAAAGCATTTGTTAAATACAAGCAATTGACCTCTACTCTACCAAACAAGATTTTTTGTATGTAATAAGTTATACATATACAATCAATCGACATTACACTTTTATCAATTTAATTGTGATAGGACCTCTATAGAAGGTAGATAAATAACTCAATTTCGGAGTAGTAATCATAATAAGTATCAGGTTATCTATAGTAAATTAAATACTTATGAATATTCAATTGTATTCAAGTAAAGAACCATATTACAGGCTTTGTATGAGAAGACCATGCTATTTTCTAAGATATTTCTGTTTCTTACTTTTACAATGCAAGTATTATATAACGTCTTATACAACTCACGGTCATGTCAAAGAGATATATGCCTTGACAACAATTGTAGAAGTAAATCATTAAGAGATTAGCGATCATTTGCTTAGTTTTACAATTGCAAAAGTAATAAGATTTTATTTTAGAAAAATTTGTGTATTCTCTTTTGTACTCCAGAACTTTACTTTTTAATACATTAAATAACTATTTGACTTAATAAAAGGTAGTTAATGATCATGTGTTTATGTGGCAATACCTATTGTTACATATTCATTGTTAAAGACAAAGGTCACGTCCTGATTAAGAAGTTCTTGTTTCTCAGGGCACTTCATCAAGCTGGCGGCCCTCCAGGATGCGTCTCGCGCGCCCTCGCTAGCTTCGCGCACAACACGCCACGTCTCTACCATAACTGGTGAGTTAATTCAACTCACCTAGTCATAATCATTTATTTTATATTTCTATAAACCAGTTAACTTTCTGCTTTATTGATCTAATCCTTTGTTTTTATTTCAAATTAAAACTGTTTATTACAATTCATAAGATCCCTATCTCATTGAACAGGGACTTATGCACTGCATAAGGTAACCTAGAGACCGGGTGAGCCGTCTGAAAGAACTTCAGTACTGGCTATTACTTTTCGATGCTACATAATAATTACAAGGAACAGTAGGAATTGAAACTATGTACTATTTGTGTGACGTAGGCAATACAATAAGAAGGATTTTCCAAATGTCTATCCCTATAATTGCGTATTTATTTTATGTGTTTTTAACCGTCCAGCACAGGTAAAGAAAGCTATGTTTTTAGGTAACACTGCAAGTCGCCTTTAGTGTCCAATAAAATAAAGATTAGACCTTGTTTACCTTGAATGGAATTGTCGATTTCATGCAACAATGCGTACAACTCTATAGTAACGGGTCTTTTCGAATGAATCATATCTATAACAGGTTTAAATTGTGCTTTATGCTTCCTAATAAATAACTTTAGGGTTCCTTATTTATTTTGTGCAAATAAAGTTTTTAGTTTAAGAGTTGGTTAACTAAACATTAATAATACTTTATTAGTGAATTATTAACACTTTAGTTTCTCGCTTCGGGATCGTGGGACGCAAGAGTTCATCGTGTTATGATGTAAGCACCATTAGGTCTCGTTATCCTTATTGTCACTCGCAATTGGCGACCTGACGCAAAAGCGCGTATCATGACTCACACCTTCACAAGTATGACTGCGACAGTACCATAGGCCTACACCATAATCTATAATAATATATAAAGCTAAAGAGTTTGTTTGTCATGAAACGCGCTTATCCCAGGAACTACTAGTTCGAATTGAAAAATTCTTTTTTGTGTTAATTAGGAGAGTTATACGCTATAAAACATCGCGCCGTGCCTAATAGGAGCGAGGAAACAACGGGGGACGTGAAAAAATCTTTGTGAGTTTCCGATTCGTACGCTGCGAGAACGATTCAAGATACCCAAAAAATATGACGACGTGGGTAACAGCTTAAATTGTAAAGATAAAGGGGAGGTTTGCTAAAACAAATTTGGATGCCCAAAAAAACTATTCTACGCGGACGAAGTCGCTGACACAGCTAGTTAAACAATTATAATGAACGGTTAAAATTTTATTAGAAACAATCATATCCGGTTGTTATGCAAATGACAATATCTAAATGGTAGATGAGAAAATGATATTCATTCAACATTCACATGATAATAAAAAATATATTGATGTCTATAGTGCACTTAGAGAAGGAAAGGAATATAGACCACGACGAACATTGTATTTTTTTTATAGAGTAGGTGAGACAAGCATAAGGTTCACTGTATAAAATATAATTTAGAAAAATGTGGAAAGGGGTGGGGATCGACCTACGACCTGTTGATTATTAGCCATACTAACATTACTCCAACGTGCTTGGTCGATGTTGTTCCTATAATTGTTTTTCATTTTATGTACTACGTCTTATAATTATTTACTTCGTTTACTAATAAATAAAATAATAAATACTAATAAAAACGAATAATTTTGAACCTAACATTATACTCATATTTAACATACTTTTTGTCTTTTTAGTAGGTATATTTTTTCTTCTCTACATTTTGTATTTAAGTTGTATAATGAATAAATGATAAGCTCCGTATAAAATGTGACATTAATAATGAGAGGGTTGTCTTTATGAATGGGGTGAGGTTCGTGAAGTGCTTTGGCATTGGCGCAACGCCAAAGATATTTTGGGCGGGCGGCCTGCGGACACGCATCCCTAGCTAGTAGTACAAATGGCGCGAGTCCGCTAACGGCGGCCTATCGGTCTCACGCGTCTACCTTGCTGCCCTAATATATTTTGTGCGTATTTTTTGTTAATTAAAACATAAACTCTGATCTAGTCTATTAATGACAATAACTCCTGTTACATATATTCTTGGTTCTAAAATTTAAAAATCGGTAAAGTTTTTATTATGTAACTGTTTACTATTTACACTACATGTAAAAAGTCTAGTGTTCGTATTAGACATGACGTCCATTCAAATGTTATCCAAAATGTTAATGATAATTAAGAAACTAACTGGTCCAAGTCGTAATAAAAATTAATTTAATTGATTTTAATAATGAAGGAGTCGATTATGTGCTTTAATAAATAAATTGGTAGCTAATAACGAAATAATTTACTTTTGTTTTGTGTTAATATCCGGGTCTTTTACACACGCAAACATACAGTAGGATCATGTTAAAATCATCTAAATAATAGTTCCATACAACGCAATTTTTTAATAATTGTTCGAAATTGAAACCGCCGATTATACGGCCACGTAATTTTTATAAACTATATGTTTGTATCTTCATAGTCTGAAACACTTTAAAATCATATTTAGGATAAGAGCGGATCGATCTATGAATAATACACCACAATACCTAGGATGTGAGTGTGTCTGAATATTTTCAACTAAAAATTATTATTATTGTTGGTTTGCATACGTTCAATATTATTTTAGTTTCTACGTAGCGATGCCAAATATTGACGCCATCCTTATTTTTATTAACGATATGAATGAGTGCGCCGAGTCGACGACCGTAATGCCTCTCCGGCTACACTATGCGTGTTTGACCTCGTACTAAATTCTATACTTCGCAGAACGTCTTTAAAAGTATGAAATTAACTAAGTTACGTCGGCTCTAAGTTTGTAGAAATGTAATTAAATTAAATATCTTTTCTTGAGAGCGTCATATGATATTCAAGTCCCGTGATATTTTGGGTTTTAAGCAATTTTATTAAAAAATATAATCCTGATTTGTCTTGGGACAATAGATAAATTTTGTTTCATTGAATCTTATTTTCAAACAAGTAGCTGATCAGACTTTTGTGCCCAGACAGAAACTAATGTTTTCATTTCGATTCGAAACCCGGACCCTTCGCTAAAGTTATAAGTCTAACCATTGAACTAAGGAAGCGGTCGTTGTTCTTTTGGAGTATAAACCTGGGAAATATATGCAATAGAACTCGGAAGTAAATAATGGGACAATAAATATTTTCATATTACATATTCAAAAATTAACGATAAAACAGTAGCGGTGGAAACCGTTGAACGGCGGTTTTGATATTCCATACAAAATATTATCGAACTCGCTGACGTTGGAATCATTATCTGATTAACAAATGATTAAGGGAAACACCGTCTCGCAGTGCACGTACACAAATTTCTCTAGAAAGAGTTTGTGCCAAAGTGAAACCTTATTTGTATTAAATGTGATTATTGGAGTTCTTGATCTGTGCATTCTAACTTACACGTTTTGTATGTAAATTAACAATAATTATGAGTGAAGACAATCCACGGGCGCGACCGCGCAGGCGCAATGTATTGCATGAAAAACCGCAGGAATTACTTTTTGCATGGAGCAGCGGTAAGTTATCGGAAATTAGATCGTATGTGCAAAGAATCAAGTGCTATTTTCGCTTAAATGTCGCCAGACAGCTGATAAGTTGTTATAAATGTAAAGAAACCGAGATTTTAAACCAGGGCAGAGAAAACAAACATCTGTTAAAACACTAGGTAATTAGGAACGGCGTTCTGTCCATTATTACATGTATCCCTTTTATTTATTTATTTATATGATGAATCTCTACTGTTTGATAAGCGACTGCCATTGAATATTTTATCACACAATTCCTATACCTAAGTGCAACGTCCTTGCCCGATAAATGTCTAACCGTTATATGTAGAGATAAGCTTGCTAAGCAGCGACCTTTAAACTAATAAAAATACGTCTTTAGTTTTATTAAATCTAACTTAGGACTGACAGAAGAGAATAAGGAGTTATTTACAGTTTTTTTTTTCAGGTTTTACAGTTAATCTTAATCCTTTTCTAACCAATGTTTACCTCCTGAAGTGGTATAGAAAACACCCATGTTATTAAACAACATGAAAATCGTTATGTCGATCTATGAGTGTTGTTTAATATAATTTAAATTAAATTTTAAGATATTATAAATTTAATATAAGTTAAGGTAGCATCATCAAATTAACTGTAATAAGTATATTTTAAATAGCTGCCATAAATTTCTTACAGGAAGCATAATATTAATATTTCAGATTATAATTGTAACAAATTAATAAATAGTAAAGACATATTATAGATAAATGTAGCTTTAAAATGTTAAATAATATCGGTTTAGTTATAACCAAAGTTATAGCCTTGTTTGTTTGGGTTATAATCTTACCGATCTCAGTCTAAACATACAGACATATCGCATACTTATTGAATCCATTCTCCGTGACCACGACTGCTGCAAAACATCCGAAACGTCGGGCCGTAGTTAAAAATAATTTTCAAACAAGTTGACTAAAATATATCGCGTTTTAAACCGTCAAAGTGTTTTATTTTATTGAATCCAAGTTATTTGTGAGGTGTTTGCCCCCCCACTAATGTCGCGGTCAGCCACGCGGAGAACTATCGATTCTGTCTGCAAGCTCTAAATATGGGAACTACTATGAGTACTGTACGTGGATACTGCATTGCGCCCAAGTTCACGTCTAGTCACGACATTCAGACCTGTAGCTTTCTAACTGTTCATTATCATTTCCCTTTATCGCGAAAGTGGAATACTAAGCGAAACTACTTTTGTACCGGGTTACAATTGTTATATAAAATCTCATGTTATGTAAACATTTTAATGGTTCTGGTTTAAAATCTAAATTATATTAGTTAATTTACTTATAACGCCCCGTGACCACGGTGGCTGTAACGCATTCGAAACGTCGGGTCGTATTTTAATATAAATTAACGAATATGATTCCTGTTTTCATAAAAGTGTCTTATTTAACATTAGTTTCTTAAATTAGTTAAACGCAAAATTTGTTGGTCATTTATCTGAGGTTGCTGTGAAGTGGTGAAATATATTTCACGTTTTAAACCGTCAAAAGTGAGTTATCCAATGCGGTCTAGCGTAAGCTAAAGACAACTATTAAGCCTTATTATAAAATTTCAACAAGATGCGCTGTTGGCCTATTTTGGCTTTGGATATTCGGAAAACTACGGACTGAAACCGAAACGCGATTATTTAACGCTTTTTCATCCGTAAACGTTGGTTGGTGACCCGGCCGCAATCGACATTCCTACCACCAATTTACTATCCAGATTTCCAGACGTAGTCCAACGTGTTTAGGAGAATTATAAATTGATTAGGAAAATGTTGATTATTAGCCGTAGTTTGCTACAATTACATCAACGAGCTCGTTTTTCTGTGTCTCAATAATATATTTTTTTTGTTCCCAGACTTGTGCAATAGCGAGGAGGTGCCAGAAGTTGAAATCGTCAGTCTTCTACAAGAGCATATTCCTAAGTATCGCCTAAGAGCTGACAGCATTACCAAGTTTGGAGGTATTTCATGGTTTTTATACCTTCTATATAATATAATATTACTCACAAATCGATAGCAGAGGCCTTCAATGCGAATCCCGGGGAAGTATAATTATTACTTCCTTTGGGCAGGGTATAGAAGTATACTCAACTAATTACCTGTTAACTGCGCCATACACCACGTAGGGAACTAGAGCTATTTTATAAAAAAAAACTTCTTTTGTACTAAAGTAGCAGACAATGTTTTGATATTATATTAATCAAAGCCAACCATTATTTTTTTTTTTATAAAAAAGCTAAATCATGTTTCCCCTACGTTGGACAAGGGACAGACACATTTTTATGTCCTTTTACTTGGTCCATTTTATTCACAGATAAGAAGGTATCCTTTTGTACGCTACACAGACACTAGAGTCTAGACTAGAGTCGAAACAGATTTCTCGGGATTTGGATCGAGTCCGTTTACATAAAAGGTTTTTATATTACAAAATGTAGATAGATATTAAAAAGTGTTTATAAATATAATACTATTACTATACTTGTAGTTATAGTAATAGTAATTAAATAGACATTGAAAACCAATTATACAAATCTTGTCATAACAAAGCGAACGTAAGAGATATTGATCAGTAAAAGCAAAACTTATGATTCTGTTAACAATAGCATTGTACTGCATTCGGTTTGAAAACGTGTTGCGATATTTTTAAATGTCAGGCTGCCTGAAGTTGAAACCCTCTCACGGTTCATTTCAGAATTTAACATCTGGCTATAACAATAAATACATTTCATAAACATCTTGCATTAAACGTAAGTGACATCTTGTTTCGCTCTGTGTGGCGCATCATGAACACTTTGTTGATTGATTTTTTATAAACTGTTTCTATCACAATAGTTAGGTTTCTGTGCACAAGAATTTACTATTTACCAAGGATTTGAACCCAGGAATTCAATTCTAGGCCATATGTTTGACATAGAACTATAGAGGCGGTCTTTCAGACATTAAAAGTACTACGCTTCTATTCATAAAATAAGATACTACAAAGACGATAACGATTACTTAATTTGATCATTTTCCAATCGCGCGTTAATATTCAAACAATTATTGTACAGTAAGATCAGAATGTAAAATAAATCTGAGTTGACCTTTAAACAGGTGGTAAGAAGTGTGTTACGTAAGCGCGAACGCAAAAACTACTTCAACGTACCTGCTCCGATAACTAGAATGAGTATTCAATGAGTTAAAAAGTGATCTATGTCAAAATATAGTGTACTATTTCATTATAATATGTTAAAACACATTTCTTTTCTATTATTTTCTATGTCTACTATTAATAATGGCTGGAAAGGCGATCGTTATTCGATTGTTTTTTTATCTACAAAATGGCGCTCGCTTTGATTCTTATTAATAACATTTAACTTCAAGAATATCCATTTTTCAAAAAGACTATAAGTAGAGTAAAGTTTCCGGCTGCGGAGCCATCTTCGCGGATGACGCTATAAATAATGGTGTCTCATCGCGCGAGTCATCGTCCGTGGAACAGCGTGTTCCTAACCGGTCTGACATATGCTATCTATCAACTCTATTGGTACTAGGATTCCAGCTAGATATGCAGATCGGTATGTGATAATCTCTACGTATGTACTTCTAGCAGGTTATTCTCTGTAACATATACATTTCTTTGTTTGAGAAAATGCAGTTTACGAATACCGTAACTTTTAAATAAAACACTTTAACGGTTTAAAACGCGATATATTAGTTAAACTTATTTAAATGTGTACTACTCGCGTAAACTATAGACAGTATTTAATACCGTAACTTACCAATGCGTCTTTAAATCTAAATATTACATGTTAGTCTTTGTTTTGTAATAAGACTGTATATGTGTCTATCTTATAAAATTAAAAAAAGAAAAGCTTGCAAAGGTATCTGAATTTAAAACCCGAAACATCTTAACTTATGACTTTTTTGTCATCGAGTACCAAAAGTCTTCACAGTACATTACATAATAGTAAAATGTATATTGAATGTCATACGTATTCGTTATACACTTAACTACATGTATACCTCACGTGATATCAAAACAGGAATGGACTGGATAAAAAGTGGCCGGGGAATGTTGAAGGTGTGATTCAGCGTTCCTCTGACGTAGTCCTATAAGTACAGTCATGTACACTTGAGCGTCGATTGTTATCAACAACGAGAGGGGACATGGTATTCGGAAAAACGGTTATTTCGGATAATCAAATTGTATTGATTCTAAGACGACCTGTGTTTCTTATGTGTGAAATTCTATTTACCTCCTTGGGGCATGAACAACACATTTCTGTGTCCCTTTCAGTGATTTATTTTATTTATCGCCAAGTAGTTGATCAGACTCCTGTGGTCTGCTCGATTGAAACAATTCATTATTTCTCCGGGAGTCGTACCCAGAATCTAGCTACTAGCTACAGAGGCGGTCGTGTTTCTTACTAAACACCATTTTTGGAGTCAATCTTTTATCTTTGTGTTACAAAAAAATGTTTTTGGTGTTATTACATAATTAAGTAATATAATCTTAGTAGACTTCGCTGTCTGTCCGTTCAAGTTCCGTTCTCCAGAACTGCAAAATTTTGATATATAAAATAGTATCAAATTATGTGGTTACTATGACAACAAATACTAATATCAAAATAAGATTAATATTGGGCTGCCATTTATCAAAACAGAAATGGCCCACCTTACCATTTCTGATCTCGAAGTAGAAATAACTAATCGAATAAGATTATAATATCAAAATTTGTATACCTTCCTACTATTGGAGATTTTTTTTCTCTAGATCCATCTACATTATAGTTTTCTTACTAAGTTTTTTTAATTGAATGAAAAGACCACGTAGGTACATTATAACCTGAAATTAATTAACTTTCTACTTAGTAGTAGTAGAAATTGTTAATGCTTTTTTACTACTTTCATATGGAAAGTAAATTGTTTCCATTATCTTCTTGATGTAGTGCTTTTTATGGAAGACGTAATCAATATCGATCCTGACCGTCATCACAATCACATTTGATTAGTTTTTAAGTGCAAACTATTCTCCATATTTATCGAAGTAATAGAATGCATTAGTTGCTATAGAAAGCGAAAACAATGTTCGATAACTTACTTATGTTTTTTATCTCGAATTTCGTTCTAGTTTTTCATAGCATTATTTATTACAGTTTGCGAAGCTCATCGTTTTGTAATTAGAAACTAGGGTACGCAAATCACATACAAATAAAAACTAGTGTTTCTGCGTCTAAGAGTAACAAATATGCCAAGTAAAAATTATTGTATTGACGTAGGTACGTATGAACGTCATTCCAGTCAAAAAGTAAACGCTCTAAGTTAATATTTACTACTAGGTATTCAAGTAAAGTTCTCAGAATAAAGTACAATACGGTCTTGTTTCAGGTTACGAAAATCAAGATTGGTTCATTCCATCCCCGGCGCTGCCGGAAAGTCCAGAAGACCTTGCCTTCACGTCTGACCAGATCAGGGAAACGCTCAACTATTTTCGTAAGTACTAGCTTGACGTTTTTATGAGCATTTACCAATTATCTAGGCACTAGTTTTTACACACTTAGTTGTAAAAAAATTGGTATGTGGTATGACAAATTCGCTTTGGGCCTAGGGACATCGAACTTTGAAACTATAAAAACAAAAACAAACCTATGAAAAATATAAAACACCAAGAACTTCATGAAATACATATTTCTGTTATGCAACTTCCCATTTGTGTGAGAAGCGCGTTCCTGTCACCGTGGATTCGTTCTTAGACACGCCTACCAAAATAAACAATGCGGACGGCATACTTAACATACATAGAAATAACTCAGAGTTAAGGAAATAAAAGACGCGCCTGACATATCCGTGGATGCTTTGATGGCAATATAACAGAAATATGACGTTTATCTTTTACACATATCAAAGGGCTTAGACAAGTTAACAATGAAATTAAATCCTTTTTAAAATATGACTGTGAAGTATAAATAGATAACAATATTGCAGCTTAATAAGTAGATAAAAATCAATTATTATACTTGCGTTTAAACCAAAAGGCAGCGTTTTAATTTCTGTACTTAATCGCCCAATTTATTGGTAGACAGAGTGACTACACTACCAATTAACAAAATCTATAGGATCTATATGTCATAACTTTGTCAAAACCATTCATTAATTGTTTTTAAACATCAATATCGTTTTGTAATTGTTATTTCGATTAATACCCCATGATGAGACATTATTATTTATTACCATAAAAAAAAATAATAGTTTAAATAACTAAATAATAACTTAAGGTAAATACTGTCTATAGTTTACGCGAGTAGTACACATTTAAATAAAACACTTTAACGGTTTAAAACGCGATATATTAGTTAAACTTACTTGAAAATGATTTTTAACTTCGGCCCGATGTTTTATTTAAATAACTTAAGCTTTTTGTATTGTCGAATGTTCATATAAAATTATAAGTATTATAATTAATATAGTCGTGGCGTCGTAGTAGTTCTTGTCGTGAATCTTTTTATCTAAAACATCACAACTGCTACTCAACTATGTAATTAAATCAGCGAGCTGTTATCTAACGCCATTTTGTGTAACAGTTCGTTAAACTTAAACTTTGTTAATTTAATAGCGGTGGTTTGAAATTGTTATTCAATTGGTATCACATTACTTTGAGTCGAACGCTTTACGGATATCAAACTACACGGATATATTTTATTCTTACAATCTCGTTACAGAATAGACAACTAAATCACTTTCTATTTCATGCATGCTCTGTCGTTTATCATGTCTATCTATTATACTTTGTCTATTATAGAATGACACGTTTTTTATTTCGTAACTATGATATATTGTATTTTTTGTAGAGTTCCTATTGCAATTATTATCGAAATTTACCAAACCTAGCGAGTGAGTCAATTAGAATAGGATAACTATTATAAAATATTAATATTAAAAAACTTATTTTTTTATTGATACATAAAAAAAGAATGAAGTCTAAAGTAAATCTTAATATTTATATGTTCTTTTTCTTTCATTGATAATTTCTCCTTTTAGATGGGTTGTTACAGCGATTAAATCGGCTAGAAGCCATAAATTACTGTAAACGATAATTTCTAATGAATATAATATGATTCAAAGCGAAGTAAGCCTATTTTAATCCTTATTTATGCATTAAAATATGCTTTCTATTTATAGAAAACTTTCTTGCTCCACTGCCAAAACGTGGTACACTTCTATATTTATTACTATATTTACAATACGCCTAACGTTATGTTGTATTTATTATTGGTGTTATAGAAAAAAACTTTGGATTTAATATAAAAACCTAAAAATATAAATCTGTAATAAAAATTTAGTCTAGTCTTGGTAATTTAAATCCTGTTCACCTAATATTTTCCTAACGATACTGGTTTAGACTTGGTAAATACTGCCTGAAACCACTTCCTAGTTTCTATTGCTCTACGTAATCTGACAATGTTACGTTTAGAATATTTGATTTAATTCACTATATGACAACTGTTTTTTTTTTGCAATTTTCCTTCTATAACCCGATATTGACAAAAATAACCTTCAAAAAAGTAAGTCAAGGCTGTTTATGAGGTCGTCTCCATTTAATGGGAAAAACTGAATCGTTGCTTCGTTCTCGGTCAATATTTCGTTTAATTTTTAACATGTTTTAAACAAGTAAATAATAGTCCGGGCGTATAACAAGGTACTATGTGTAATCTTTAATTAAATTATAACGTAGGGAAATATTGTCTAGACTTAGTTTATTTTAAAATCTGTCCCATTGTGCATTGTCTTGCTTGACCTTATCGTAAATTATTGAGGGTCGGGCGAAATGAAAATGCAAGGTATTAGATGGAAGATGCATAGATAACAGTTTAAGTCCGCCAAAGCGATCGCCGACCGGCGCCAGCTGTGCGTCGCAGTCACTTTTGTGCGGTCAGAGCGCGTGCGCGACGCTTCCGCGAACTCCAGTGGCGGTCGCGCCGCGCGCCGGTAGCCACGCGACACGCGCGCTTACCCTTCGCCGATCGATACCGCTACACCCACCTTTGCGCATCTCATGCACCCATACAAAAACTGCGCCAAACATAGACACCACGGTGCACCGTTGCTCCGATAATACCGTACCCGTCCTTATTTATCCTCTAACTGTATTGATGGGATTTGAAGTTCAGTACGTGCTCTCGACTAGTGTCAACGTACTATGCAGTGCAATAAGCCAATTAGTTGAAAATTCACGCCTTTTGTAATTGTTTTATGCTCACATCCGGCGTTGCCAAGCACGCTCACTCGGTACGGATTTAGCTATTGATTGAACGCGCTCTGGATACGTTGGGGTGATTGGAAGGAGGCCCCAGCATCGCGCAACGGTGTGGCCAACCGCCACATGATTCCATTATATTGACCGTGAGAACATTATTAATACGTACGGTACTATTTGTGTATCTATAGAGCTTTGTACGCTAAACCAAATATATAAGACAGATCATCTTTATTTTATTATCTATAATTACATATTAATATGCTACTTGCTTACGAAATATCATAGAATTACCTATGAGTTAAACATAGTACACATAGCAAATAGTATTATTGCAAATAGTTTATCGGTACGATAATATTGCGCAGAGCAAAATGCAGGAGAATACATTTTAGAGAAAGTTTGCTCGGTGTGATTTTATTACTTGCTCATAGAATGCAATAAAGTATTCACGATTTAGAATAGGCGCAACAGAATTCTTGGTAGGCTTATAACTAATTTAGATACAAACATACAAATTACTGTACTCATTTATTATTTTATTACTTGAATTAAAGTGATACATATTGCAACATACCGTATTTTTTATTTCGGTACTGAAATTCGTTTAATCAGCCGTCAAATAATTTGCTATCTTTAGGACATGTTTAATTATGTAATTATTTCTTATGGTGGTACTTTGTAGTAATTGCTTTTTTTCGCCTGATAAATTTTTAATTATTATACTAGTTTCTCTAGCGTGAGGTTTTGTAGATCACATTTTACCTACGTTACATTGCTTGTTCCAATTTACTATGCTTAACCATGTGTGATTACAACTACATTGTAATTCGACAAGTGTTTAAAAATGAACCTTAAAGCGATTGTAGTTAAGTTAAAATTAAATCTGCACACCGCATACTGCTATAGATAAGTTACATTCATTTTGTAGTCATAATTGTGATATGGACGGAAGTGGACGTCTACTTAATTCGAGTAAAATCGGGGCGTACGTTTTCATGTAGTTTTCAAAGTCGTGAAAGTTTATTAACATTGACCTCAAATTGGGACCGTTAAAGAATAAAGTGATTGCATTAAGTGAGACATCGTGTTGCGTATGTGACAAGTGATAATGAATTTCATTTCTTGGTGTCTTAAGCGAATTCATTACCGATGTTGCCTGTGCACATAAAAGAGTGAGTGGTCCCGTACATCCGTCGATGGTCTGTGGAATAAATTAAAGAGCACTTGCCATTCATACATTCATTTAATATACACATAATTATCGTTTGTAATCACATGGTCCCATTATTCCGTGAAGGCGTGTTCTATACACCTTAGAATCATTGAAATATGTAGTTATATGAAAAATTCCTTAACCATAAAAAATACATATTTGCTCTGAATACTAACCTAAAAATAATTATCACGACTCGTCAAAAATGAGAAGAATAGTTATTATGCTTTGTCTTCAGTTTTCTCATATTAATATATATTTTTTTAAATTGCTGACGCGACAGACTATTTTTAGTTTAAATGAAAATTCTCTTATTAATGGAACTTAACTAATTAATTATTACCGCTCAATAATGGTTATTATTGTTCACGAAAATTCTACAATATTCTTTTCTTATCGGCTGTAAAAAGAATGTGCCATGCCAAGACGTGCTTTTATTTGACCTTGTACTTATTATAATTCAATGCTCTACCTATAAAGTCGACATCACTTACTCTTTTATTATAAATTTATACTCAACGATATATAGGACCAAACATTAGAGTAACATTAGAGCGACAATTATATTTTAAACATAGGTACATTGGTTTAAATTAACTATTAATAAAAAATAGACAATACTTAAATAACTTATACTTAATTGCTTTTTAAAGGCTGTATTGTGACGTAGGTTTGTCGTTGACTCACGTGCTACTATGACCTTACTCCTTCATACCTACCGTGCGCTGAGAAAAAACAGATTTTTAATGTGAACGTCCGTTAAATACTCAAGTAGCAGGGCTTATGTCGTCTTAAATCCTATCGTTTTGTTAATTAAAATAGGTTTATACATTTTTTTTGTACAATATAATGTTTGTTAAAAGAATATAGAAAATAATTAGTAATAGTTACAACCGTCTCCGTGCATCAATCAAATCAAACACTGTGTTTATTACGAGAGGTCATGAGCTAGAACCTTTGAAAAAACAACGAATAAAGTAATAAGTCGAGCAGGGCACAAATGTCTGATCAACTACAAATACTGTTATAGGCACAGAGATATCCATGTCCCACGTTCCCTGGACACGGAATTTTCATACTATACACACATAAAAACATAGTTTCATAGTAGACATTATGGATTGCATAGCCACCGTGGAGCTACGAATTCTTTTATTTTTCTTCATTCAACCTTGCGATTTTGTCATAAAATTTTATGTGGCTTTATGTTTCAATATCAGTGACGTAGGTTCTTAGAACGCGGCGGAGACTTTTCATCATCTGCGTGATCGGCTTATTATTACATCTACATAATTTTGAATACTGTTCCGTCGCGGACTTTGAATACACTTTAAAAAGAGCGTCAAAGTAAATGTTTATTTTGAAGTGTGAAGTAATGTTAAGTCAGTTTAATAGAGGGACTCTTTTGCGACGGTCTAAACTGAATGTATACTAGTGCTTGACATAAGTGAAGTGATAACACTAGCGAGAAGAGCGGTGTAGAGTTATTGGGGCGGAGCTGATGTCCGCCTGTGGGGCGAGTCACGGCGGAAGGTGGTTCGGGTCCAAGCGCGGGGTACGCGAGCGTTTCGCGTGCCTCGCCGCCTCCCGGCTTCGATCGCGAGCTCTTCCACGAGCTAAGCTGCCTTCCCGATTCGGAACTGCGCGAATGCCTCGGCGAATATCCAGACTTCCTCTACCATCTTGCCCGGGATAGGTTTGGACGTGTCTACTTTCGCGTCATACGGACGTTGCTCCTTGATAGAGGTATAGTCACGATAGGGTATTTTCGCATTTGGACTCTTCTATGCTTCGCTCGTCTCATCTAGTTTTCATTAACTTCCTGCTTAACTAACAACGCTACACATTTTAGCTTGACCATGTCACCGCCATTGTACACAGTTACATCAAGCTGCTCTTAGCAATATCATCCCGTGTTGTTAATCGCTAACTGAAGCGAAGGTTGTGCTTGTCATGAGCGTGCCCTGCCTTGTCGACCAGCTGCCTCTATGATACTTTGTCCTCGCCTAGTCAAAAACTGGTCATGATGCTAAGACCTGGATCTCCTTGGTCAATTTCTGACATTGGTGATGGACTACGTGGCCCTATACTGCCCGAGACTGTCTGGTTCTCCCGGGACATGTGGCAAAATTATCTCAGGACTCTTCGCTTGCAAACAGCGCAATAGTATAGATGATCATTATTGCATTATCTGATCTATATCAATTCTAGAATTATCTATTAAATTTGAAAGGTAAAATTAATTTTATAATTATAGGTGAAAGTCCTTCGAATTCGTGAGAGACATAACCGTGAAAACAATCGATATCCGTTGTAATTGTAACGTTAGGTAAGAGTGGGAAAAAATCAGATGCCTACGCATTCAAAGCACTCGTTATTTGTGTCGTGAGTTCCCACTAGTTACGTTTTTTATGTTCTGGAAAGCGGCCTCGCCGGTTACAACGAGTTCATACGCATTGTATCGCTATTACGTGGCTAGTGTTTTAGCATGTTATTTGTAAACGATACTTATAGGTATATTTAATTAAAAAATGTTAAGTTTGTTTTCCTAGCCCTTAAAAAAGATCAACGCCTAAAACCGGCGCTGCACTTTTCTTGTCTAGAAGCGTAGTGTCAACAAATTTCAGTTAAGCCATAACCTTGATATTAATGTTAATTATTTATATAAAAAATATAACCTTTTCCTATTAATAAAATGCAAAGCACGAATTTGTAACACTAACATTATCACTTCTAATTCTGTTAAATTTTAAACATAGATAAATAATTATAATAAGCTCATCGTTAAACATTGTAGTAATCGTTCGCTGGAAACAAAAAGTGACGAATTGTTATTATGTTTTGTCTTGGTACTCCAGTATTCCCATGTTGCACAATGCCTATATTTTTCCCCGGCGCGGGCGCAGGTGCGTTGCGTACGCAGTCGATAACTTCAACTGACAGCTCGCGCTAGTGTGGTAACTTGGTGCAATTCGATAATGTTTACCGATGTCATTCCTCGTAATTCCGAGGCCGATCATGTTTCGTACTAATGTATTGTGCAGACACCACCCATGAATCCACAGTCGGTCGATATTGATGAAATTATCGCTGGTCAGTTTTAAATATCTCCTTACTTCATATAAAGGATTGTTTTAAAAGATAGTTTAATAGGATTACTTCGAGTGTTAGTAAACCAGTTTAAGTATTTGTTGAATTCTATTGTCGTTTAACAATAGTGTGTGGAATTCAAAAATAATATTCCTGGTTTTGTATGTGTTTGTGCCATTCTTTTCTATACTCACCGTATTTGTGTTAAACCGTCATACTGTCTGTAGTTTACGCGAGTAGTACACATTTAAATAAAACACTTTGACGGTTTAAAACGCTCTATATATTAGGTAAACTTATTTTGAAACAATTTTAACTACGGCCTGACGTTTCGAATGCTTTGCAGCAGCCGTGGCCCCAGGGAGAATAATCTTCAAATACGTTTAACTATTATATATCGTGTTTTAAACTGTTTAAGTGTTTATGTTATTTTTTACATTGTTTCTTACAGATGTGAACGTCGTTTATGAAAAATGTTTTAATATAAATCTCCAAAATAAACTATAGATATAAAACACAAAAATAAAAATATTACCTATTATTTATTTTAAGCATTATTATCAATGCCTTAAACACAAGTTAGCCTGAAAACTACGGTAATGGCGGCCTATTTAGTAGAGAGCTCTCAAATTGATTGTGTTGCCGGCTTTGTAAAAATATGCATTTCATGAAGCTAAATAGAAGTACAAATCTTCACTGTAAATATTGACACAGTAAGGGCCATTATAGAAATAGATTTGTCAATAAAAACACGCCATTAATCGTTATTGTTTATATAGTAATTATCTTATCAATCTTTTGTTCTTCTACGATTCTTGTGCTATATTTGATAAGGAGTTTTCAAGTTGTTAGTCGTAGTGTGTGATGCGAGCGGTGTGTTTACAGTTCTATGCAGCAACAGAGTGAGCCAAATGACAAAAACTTACAATGACATAGAAGCGGTTACAAGGCTATTAGAAGAGGTGAGTTTTCCTTTTTTTTATTCCTATGACTTCGCAGTTCACTCAAAATTAATCAGACACGTTTTTTTTTGTATTAATAAAATCGAAAATTTACGCCGAAATTCGTGGTATCACGTTTTATTTGTGTTAGCTAATAAGGTTGAAAGATTGTTACAGTCACTTCAAATTATGTATTTGATATAAAATTTTACGTATTCTATAAATTTTAAGGAGAATTTACAATATCTATTTTATTGTAATCTTGAACTCTCCTAATTCATTTTTTTACTAACAATGTTTTAAAGTAAACGTAGTTGTCGTAATTCTTCTATAACAAGTAAAATATACAACAATATTATTATATGACTATCTAGAGAACCATCCACCGTTTGAGACAACAATCATGAAACTGGAAATTTTATTTTATATTAGCTGTGCCAGCGTCTTCGTCCGCGTAGAGTAGTTATTTTGGGTATACAAATTTGTTTTTGCAAACCTCATCATCTCTACAAATTATAGTAGTATGTTACCCACAATATCGGTCACGTACCGTCGTTCTTGTAAATTAATCTTACATATACTGTCGCGGACATTTTCTTAGATTATTTAAAAAGAAATCATTCTTTTGAACATATTTCTTGCGTATCTTGAAATGTTTTCGCTGCAAACGCAATGGCATCCCTCAAAGATAAATATTTTTTTCCGTTTTTTCCACACCGCCCATTGTTTTATTCGCTCCTATCGGAGGCAGCGTGATGTTCTATAACTTAACACCTTCCTCGATAAAGGTTCTAACCAACACAAACATATTATTTGAATTCGAGCCAGTTGTTCCGAAGATTAGCGATTAAACAAACAAAATAACAAACTTTATGTATTAGTATAGATATGAACATTTGTATTCTCGCAGAAAGAGAAGGACTTGGAGTTGACGGCTCGTATCGGCAAGGAATTGCTGACTGCGAACGGGCGTCTAGAGGCTCGTGTCACCGCCCTCGAAGGCGAGCTACGTGGTGCGCGAGACCTCATCACTCAACTCAAGCACGAACTCAGCGCGAAGACTGATTTACTCCAGGTACGGGCTTATTTTAACTAGGTTAATGTAGACATGTTGAGACGTGACATGTTTTATAGCCTGAAATTAGATCCCGTTTAGATTGGACGATAATTGCAATGAGTTTACCCGACAACGGCAAAGATGAAAGGAAAAGCTATTATAAAGAAACTAGCTGACACCTGGCTGTCTATTCACATATGAATTATTTCGACGAAATTTGATAGCTATAAAAACGGTTCTTGTGAGTAATCCTAAGAGGCAGGCATGTCTCAAGGCATGGCAAGACTCAATGTTTCACACATATATTTGGTTTTGTAAACTGTTTTCGCAGCACACACAACGGAAACGCTCAAACATGAATAATTTACGCAGTTTTTTCCACATTTTTCGATAAATGGTCTTACCAACACAAAAATAATTTTTCAATTCGAACCTGTAGTTCCTGAAATAAGGGCGTTTAAACAAAGAAACAACTCGTTAGCTCTATAATTATTAGTGTAGATGTGTATTTGAATGGTATGGTCTAAGCATTTTTAAACAAGTAAAGAGAAGAAATTAAAAAATACTAGTCGCCTAATAGGTTAATTTTTTGTAAGGTACAGCGTGTTGTGCATTTGAAAAGTATGTTGATGTCCAAGGTGCTGACAAATGATACAGAAGAGGGTTCCCCAACGGAGGAAAAGGAGGCGGCGACGGCGGCGCTGTTGCGGCGTCGTGCCGGGGCCCTGGAGCGAGAGAACAAATCCCTACGAGAGGAGGCCGCTCGCTTGGCAGCGGGCGCTGACTCCGCAGAGCTGGCGGAGAGGCAACTGCTCCGAGATATCGCTGCTCAGCTAGGTACGTAGCAGTAGATACTGTTTGTAGATTTCGCGAGTAGTACACAATAAAATAAAACACTTTAACGGTTTTAAACGCGAAATATATCAGTTAAATTTATTTTTGAAACGATTTTAACTACGACTTGACGTTTCGGATGCTTCGCAGCAGCCGAGCCGATAAAGAGGTGGTTAAATCTAATTCTCAGAGCGCCAAATAAGTTTTAACTAATATATTTCGCTTTTTAAACCGTTAAAGTGTTTTATTTAAACGTAGCAGTAGTATAAATATATTTTCAGTACATCCACGGGTTCGTTTGTCTAATGGTACCAATGTATGGCTAATAATAATTAACGATCCCCACCAGATCCAATTTGTTTCTGATTTCTTAATTTATAATTTTTCTGAAACAATTTGGACTTCGTCTAAAAATCTGGATACTGAATGGGTGGTAGGAATATCAAAATTCTACCAATCCAATTCGAACCACCGTTAAACACAGTGTTCCACAGATAAAAAAGGCGCGAAGCTAAATCGCGTTTCGGTTTTGTCTGTGGGTTTCCGAATATCTAAAGCCAAAATAGGCATCATGTGTAGATGTTATGTAACCCCAAGCTTGTCTGTCACTCCTGTATCATAAAAAAAACTACATAATCTTGAGTTTTTATGTTCTTGTCTTTTAGTACTTTACTTTTAAATTTGTCTTTGAAGTCATTAAGAGAAAGGACATAAGTGTTACATAGTGTATCCTCGTTAAGCACTGACATCACTACAGGAAAATCAACGAAGAAATAAAATTTAGTAAGGCAGTATCTTTACTGTAAATAAAACTCTGAATAGGTTAAGTTACGCGCATTACATTTGTTTATTGTATAACGTATGCTTTAGAAAAACCATCTCTTCCGTTTTGCATGATTATTCTTAACGTTTATGGATGAGTGCGTTGCATCATCAGAATGGATAGGAGCGCGGAAGAAATCATTATTTAGTACAATGGAGACAATTAAATCGTTATGTTGATAGTTGTCAAGAGCTTTCGCAACTTTATTCGCACACTATTCGTTCCCACGTGTTCTTATAGTCAAATACCTATTACGAGTCTATTTATACCGAGTCAGTGACTTGTAAGGTTTTGCCGCCCATACTCTATATACATTGCTAACTATACCATGCACATTTTATTATTGGCATTTCTACAGCTCTCGTACATAGAGTTTCGCATTTTTAAATTTTAAAGTAATTGTACCTTCGCCACGCTCCAAGTTTACTATCATGCCACAGATTAAAAATAATCGGTAGAGATACATCCTGTGGATATATCGATTAGGAGGAACTCTTAATATTATATAGATAAAGTGTTTATAAAAAACAGAATTAAATACTGTCTATAGTTTACGCGATATATTAGTTAAACTTATTTGAAAATGATTTTTAACTTCGGGAGACTCAGTCTCCCCGTGACCACGGCTGCTGCAAAGCATCCGAAACGTCGGGCCGAAGTTAAAAATCATTTTCATATAAGTTTAACTAATATATCGCGTTTTAAACCGTTAAAGTGTTTTATTTAAACAACAGAATTATGCGCTCTTTTCTTTGAGGTTCAGTTTGAAAAAGTAATGTAGAATGGTAATAATTCAATCAATATACCACATCTATAGGATATTACTTAGAACTTCTACAAACACAATGTATGCGACAATACATATGTAACAGGGCTTTTACGATTAGCAGATAACTAAATGCCAGGTGGTTTATATATATTTGTATAATGACCTGTGATAAATGTTTATTGATAATCTATCAGCGAATTCCGATGGAAACACGTAATGTTTGAAGCGTGTATTTTATCATAGGTGACGCTGCCAAACTGATTCGTACAGTTTATTCTATGGTTCAAGTTACGTCAAAGTAAATTTCATAAAATTCGTCACTGAGTATACTCATGAGGCATGATATAATTTTAAAAAAAGGCTTAAGGAGAAGACTTCTTATCGCCGAGTTTCGGAACACAAAAGCAAGATGCTGAAACCATTATTTTATGCTCCAACTTTATGAGTTAAGCTGACAAAGACCTGGCTTTCTATGGAGCAAACGTTATCGCTATGTGGTGAGAAATAGAAGTACTTACAGTAAAGACAGTACGGGATCCATGTAATATTCGGTTCAGTGGCACAAGGTGGCCTAGCAGCGTGTTGTCTTTAAGATTCGCACCCTGTCAGACCATACTTGTTCCAAAGAGCCAGGAGACATCGGTACATGGCAGCTGAGACAAGAAAAAGTGCTATATAACTGTAAATTTTGAGCGTGACATTACGAGTAAGTATGTACCACCTGCCATTTTATGGCAGCTCAACTTTAGGCATGTCATCCATAAATTACTGTACGTACAGTAAAGTACGGTAAGGTGTTACAATTAAATTTTTAAGTTGAAAGTATGTATGTATTACATTTCGTCAGAGTCTTAAATTTGTCCACATATGGATGTCAGCGGCAATGTGTAAAATTTATGTAAATTAAAAATCTACAGCGCTTTATTGAATCTTACAGTTATGTGAAAAATTATAAAGTTCTCAAAGAAATTACTTGGGAATATCATTGTTTTTCGGGCTGTTCGGCCGACTTGAGCGAGTAGAGGCTCTCGGCGTTCCTCGATTGCGCGAAGAATTATGAGCTAACATCTCCTGGTGATGCCGTCCGCTCGTGATGGCGAAACGTCGAGAACCACATCTGGCTTGCGTCGGCCGCACAGTCCGAAAAACAATAATATGCCATGCCATGAAAGCCTTATACAATTTATTAATATGAATTTGAGTTTAATTAAAGCGCCAGTACGTTTTGGACATGTTTTTCAAACGTCACTGCGAAAATGTTCAACGTTTTATGGTTTCTGTGTGTATAATATAAAATACAGTATATAATATATTTATTCTATACAATACCTAGACTTCTAGATAGTCTATGTTAGTCTTGTCCATCACATACTTTTAGTATGTAATGTATACTACTGCAAGAATGTCGGCTAATTCACCGACGCTAGAAAAGAGATCTTTGTTCTTATCTCTTCACACTGAATATAAGGAGGTTAATATAACTAACAAAATTAATGCATAGAAAACCGAAATAGTTGGTAATCTAAATTGTTCGCATGAGTTACAAGCGATTATAAATTATTCGTTTGATGTAACACTGCAGTTGTTTTACGTCATTGTTTAGATATAAATAGATATTACTGTAGATTTTGATAACATAACACAATGTAAGCAAGTGTACAATTTAAGTGAAATATGGTTATTTTGTAAGACTAAATGAGATTTAGTTTTGTCACGATTTTAAACCTTGGAGTCTGTCTTCGGAAATATCAATATTTGTCATCTACAACTTCGGTTTACTTAAGTTTTAATTATCTATAGTTGACTTGATATGTTAATAGAAAAAGTCTTTCACGTACAGTATGACGTATAGGCCGTATCTTGATTTGTCGCCCGGTATTGCGTTAAGGTTGAAAGGTCCTAAGTTCGAATCTTACTTAGACAAAGTCAGTCAGTCAGGGTCAGAAAGCTGATAAGTGATAACTAACTTCACTGTTTATGTATAATCGACATGAATGTAATTTACTCTTTAATGTGTCTTCGCCACGTGAAATCAGTCTTCACAATTTTTTCCTTAAATGGGATTTTACGAATACATAATATATGGATTCTTTAGGATTGTACAGTAATAGCCTACCACTTCAAGTAAGTGGTAGCCTAAGAAAACAAGATTGAGCACGTTTTTGCTTGAGGGTAAGAACGTGTTATTTATTAGCGCCATATTGATTTACAGATTCAGTTAGAATGTACTATTAAAAGGTTGGTATTTAAATAAAGCACTTAACTACTAAGCCAAATGTACGAGTTAACAAATTTACTATCTATTTAATCAAGACAGTATACTATACTATACTATACATCTAGCCGTTAATACAATATACACGGTGCAAATATTAATATAATAATATTCAATACTTTAATCTTTAGTATTCGTATGTAATGCACATATAAAAAAAGTGTTTTATATTATTAATCGATGGCGTAGGCGCAACTCTCATGTGCATTGACATATGAAATTTATAGATTCAAGTGTTCAAAGCTTTAATGAATTTCCCCACTTAAGATAAAAAAGAAGATTAAACTTAGCTGCTTTGGTTTAAGGTTAGAAATAGGATGGCAAGGGTTCCATAAAATGATTCGATGTACACAGGTGTTATTGAAAGCACAGCGTTGGCCGTGAGTTCGAGTACCGTCTACAATCTATATTAATATTAAAAAACTGATGAGTTTGTTTCAATGTGCTTACGTAGAACTACTGGTTTGAATTGAAAAATGTTAATGATAAAACAATTCAAGAATCGTGTAAAGAAGAATAAAACAAAAATTCTTATTTACATGATCTGAAAATTTCCGCGACTGTATGTCTAGATTGCTTGCTAAATATAATTTGCGCATTAAATATATATGTTTGTATTACAGCGAGTGCTAATTCAGAGACAAGTGAACTTGGCTCTGAATTAGCTGAAGAGAGGCAGCGATCATCAGAACTGCAGCAGCAATTAGATTCAAGCAATGCTAGACTGGCTATTACAGAACGAAATTTACAACAGGTGAGTTATATATATGACCGCATCCTTGAATGTATACTTGTACAGATCTCGAAGTGTGTGCGAATTGCGAATCCCGGGATCATATTATACGATACGATTTTCGGGTATAAATTAGGGCTGCTAGAGGCAGAGTGGCCTAATAACAAAAAAAAAACATGATTTTTAATAAGGAGGAAAATAAAAATGCACAATTAACGTAGACGAAAATGAATTTGTACAATTATTTGTGTAAGACTTTTAACAATTTTCGGTCACTATATTCCTCAAGTCATAAAATTGCAGTTAGGCTACTTTGCCTCTAGCGGCCTCAATTATGCCCAATCTCCACGTTCAGCCCGATGATCGCCACTAAGTTGATGGCGGTGATCATCAAAGCGTTTAAAATTAACTTTTAGTCCTTGAAACCTTTCTATGAGAGAAATTTTGTTAATAGGTTAAAACGAATTTATGCATAGCTAAAGATAAGGATGTTGTTCATCAATGACTTTTCCCTTTGACATTGACAGAAATATCTTTTCTTAGAAATATTACTGAGTAAGAATATGAGAAAGAAATGTTGTGATATTTCGTCTTAAATATTTATAACTCTTTAAATGCATTAAGGTAATTTAAAAATAGTTAAGAAATGTTTATTTCCTTTTGTAAAATAATGTTTTTAAGACCAAAAAGGGTAGATGATTTAAGTTTGTTTGCTATAATTACATTACTTTTATATTTTAATGGTCATATTTGTTTTTGTATGTTTTAGCTCGTATTTTTTTTCCAAAAAATCTGATATGACAATTACAATTACCTATAAAGTAATCGAAAGTTGGCTTTAGTAGAATGTAGTACGTGGCCCTGGCGGTCCGGTTTATGTACATAATCAGCCCTTACATAATAATCGATCGAATCGATAAACATTGTGGATTTTACTTACAATTTACCTAGTCTAAATAAAGTATTTTACCTATTTTATTTAGGTGACGGATCTCAAAGATCGTTCGTAAGAAATTTGAATAATAATAACCCAAATAACATACATTGGAAAATGTCAATTGAAAAGGTGTTGGCACAATTTTCTTCGCGTAGGAGTAGTTTTTTAGGTCTCCTCACTTCCGTTACTCTGTCCTAAAATTGGATTCTAATTGCTTTCAGCTAACCACGGAACATGAACATACACTTCGAATATTGGAAATAACGAAAGAGAACCAAAATGCGCTTGCTGCAGAGTTGGCTGATATCAAGGTGAGCTTTGTGACCCAATACACATTATCTATGGCAAAAAATTATAGGCCTTCTTATTTTATGTAACTTTTTCACATACATCGTTTTACACAATTTCAACCGGTAAAGAAACTAAGTCTAAGTCGTTCAAGTACAGAGGTAACGTGTACTGTCAGGTACGTTTGGTATACGAATTGCTCGTTAGCGGCATTACGTACCTGGGTATATAGTCAAGTTTAAGTTTCCTGGTCTAACTGGTATACAATATTTGACTAACTAAAGTCTGGGACATCTGGACATTCCACAAAATTCCGCAATTAAAACCGCCTTAAGGTGAAAATTTGCATTTTAATTATTGAATAGAATACAATTCGAAATACGAATTTTTGAAACGTAATATAATGATTATAGATATAATATTATGACTAAGTACAGATAAAGTACAATAATACAGTCGGCTCTGAGGGGTCTGAGTCCACTCAGCTACGTTGGGACTAATGTCCCAACACTGATATTCTGGCCTCAATTCCCCAGTAAGCTAGTGCATTCGATTTACTTGTAATAGTACCTCATTACACCTCCCAAGTCCTCCAGTTTCTCAAGTGACCCCAAATTTTGCCTTCCACGACCATGACGATGGAAAGTACGAAATTTCTTAATCTACGGATACAACGCGTTAGACAAACTTCGTGTTAAGTAAAAAATCTTAGTTATATAAAGTTGTTAGAGTTTACACGGTTTGCAAAACATGGAATTATCAGTTTATGTTGAGAATAACAAGATATAAATACAATGATATCTAAAATCACTTGCATTTTGGGTCAAGGATTTGGGTCTTAGTAATGTGTATGTAGATTAAGGTAATGTTTTAATTAAATGATTTATACTTAGTCTAATGTGGGATGGTAAATTTTCCAATTCCTAATGCGATTGTTGTAGTACATATTTATTTTAAGTAGTCCAGCATATCATTGTCTTTCGGGCTGTTCGGCCGACGTGAGCGAGAAGAGGTTTTCGACGTTTCGCCATCACCGAAAGATAATGCTGAACGATGGCCGTGAAAGCCTTACAAAATTTATTAAGTAGTACTATTTATAAAGTTGTGCTCAATAATATTCTTTAAGAAATCTGGATAAGGAAAACGATTGGCCAATATTTTAATATGCAGTAGTTTGGACTTTGTATTTATTTTTGTTCAAATACAATATATACCCACAAGATTTTAGTCGTAAGATATTGCACTAAGCGAGTGGCATTAAATAGCGGTATTATGTAAGTATGCTATATACAATAAAATTAAAACAATATATATACTTCAAAAGCCAACTTATCATCCTATATTGGACCAAGTATAGCTTAAAACATCAATCAGATTATGCCGTTAATGGAAAGACAATTGACACCAAACATAGCGTTGTTCTAATGAAGCGTAAAATGAACTTAACACAATAATAACGAACCAATTAGAACTTTCCTTTATCGACAGTTAACAGATTCCAATATAACGTAAGTGGTTTTTTTAACTTAAGAAGCTAATTTTTTTATTTATTTTTATCTTTAATTAGCAATACCATATCGTTATTTTGACTTCTTTGTGGCCAAGTTTGAACTAACAAGCACATAAAGTATTTTTTATTTCAAAATATAGAGACATTACTTTAATAATTTATTATAATTTAATGTTTACTTGTAGTTTACGGGAATTTTACACAGTAAATAAAATTCTTTTAGGGGTTTAATTTTAAACAGTGGAAAATATTTTCAGTAGGTGTAGTTTTTTGAATTTTCTCTTAATGCGAGCGCAGTTATTTATAATGTTTTATATTTTTAACAAAAATCTTTGTTATGTAAATAATAACTTTTAATTAAATTCAGTTTACCATAACCTCAGCCAAAATGATGATCGTTTGTTTAGATTTTATATCCGTGGCGCGAGTATCAAACTAATTGAATTTTATATTATCAACAGCTGTCATTACATATTACTCACGTTTCACTGATTATAAACTAATCTAAAGCCGTTTAATCTTGTAATAATGCGATTTGTTGATTTCAATCTTTATATAGATGTTATATTATGGACTATATTTATATAACAACCGAATGAGGTAACGTTTTTATTTATTAATTAAAAATCGATTATAGATATAATCGATATAAATGACCTACCCAGTTAGAGCAACAGAACGGACCGCTGAGAATGCAGGTTCAACTCCTGCCCGAGTCGAAAATGTTTTCAATTTTTAAATTAAAACTATTGTTTATCATAAAATAACGCTTGAAATCTAATTCTGACAACCTTTTTTGTATAACTTACTATTACATTATTATTTTTATTTCATATAATTATTTAGTCTTTGTAGGAGGCGACGGAAAAAAAAATATAATTGTTTTCTTATATGACTGATAAAAACTATTGCTAATGTATTTTTTTTTCTAATATTCTATCTAAGTAATCTACAAAACTTATAAGTGTCTTCTTTTCAATTCTTATATAATATGTTCAAATGGTGAAATTATTAGTAACGAAATCTTTCAAGGAACGATATGCGGAGGTGGCTGCACATTTGGCCGAAGCTCAAGAGGCTCTACGGCAGGCCAGGAAACGCGGTGAGCCGGTTCGCGGGCTCATGCCCAGCGTTGCGGCTGCTGCTGGGCTGCTTCCGGCCAGTTTACACCGAGAGATGCACTCTTCTGTATATTCGGAGCTGAGTCTAGACTCCGGCATTGGCGACCCATTGGCACAGTAAGTTGTTCTAGAATTCCTACTTATGGTCACTTTTTAGTTGGTTAAACCATTTCGTTGCCTAATGCGTTACGGCTGTTTGTCAGGCGTTGATTAAGGTCGTAAGAGGGCGCTTATCAAAAAGTTAATGAGGTTTAGACTAAATCGTATCAAACATTATTTATTCATCAGGTAAAACTCTTATATTACTATTTCCACCAGTAAGTTTACTAGGGGGGTAGAACGAACGTGAAGAACGAAATACCACTGCTATAATAAATCGCAAAAATCTGAGTCGTGTCACATATTTATAATTAAAACTATGTAGTTACAAGGACGATCTGAATCTTATGTTTCTATAAAATACTGGTTAATAAAGCGCAGACAATTTTATTGCCTAACCCCATGTATAACATTTATACAAGTTTTTTTCTTTAATTCTCTAAAGAATTTCCCTCTCTTTCTCAAGGTTTTTGTTCTAAGTAAAAAAATATGACCCTTTTTTTCAGTTCCAGCATGCAAAAAGTGTTCGAAACTGTACAATGCGCGTCGCGTTGGTCCGGAGCGTCGTTGTCTGGATCAGAAACGGAGAGTGCGACCAAACCCAAGCCCAAGGTCAAGACAATATCCACCGACAGTTTCTTCGAGGATATTTCAGATACGGAGTCAGAAGACTTGTATCCGTAAGTATATAATATTACTACCTAACCGCTGCTCTAGTTACTTCAAAAAACTTACATGGTTTTTATAAACATGAGTAGACATTGATTGATGAACAAATGTATTTCAATATTGCTTAATTTAAAGCTAGTCCGTATTAAGCTATTTATAAATAGAAAAATATCTCATAATACAATTGATACTTTTAAATAAAACACTTTAACGGTTTAAAACGCGATATATTAGTTAAACTTATTTGAAAATGATTTTTTAACTTCGGCCCGACGTTTCGGATGCTTTGCAGCAGCCGTGGTCACGGGGAGACCGAAACGTCGGGCCGAAGTTAAAAATCATTTTCAAATAAGTTTAACTAATATATCGCGTTTTAAACCGTTAAAGTGTTTTATTTAAATGTGTACTACTCGCGTAAACTATAGACAGTATACAATTGATACTTCTATTCGGCTTTAAAAAATGTTTTACGTTAAAATATATACTTATATGAACATCAATATAGAAATAACAAACAGCAACGGATTAAAATGCTATATTAATTATAAGAAAACATGAAGTTTTGTTTTATACCATATTTAACTCAACTTTATGTTTCTTATAGTGGTGGTGCGGGCGTGGGAGTTCCCGGTGCTCCAGGTGCAGCTGAATTAGCTGCTGCTTTACGAAGACTTACGCCACAGGAGATAGATTCGCGACGGGCTTCCCTCTCTGCATCTCATGTGTTGCGACAGCATAGGCGTACTGGTAAATTCAGTCATTATGTGTTAACATTGATATTCAGTAAAACCTCTTTTTCCCTATATATTATATTATCTGACCTAAGTCTATATATGTGGACATTGTACTCGTTGTATATATTCAAAGGCATGTAGTTGAGATTTTTGAGCTCTGCCTGGCCGATTGTTTTCTGGGGATTCGAATCCAGGATCTCTAACGGTAAGCGTGTGTTAAGGCAACGTGCTTAACTATTTAATTATAATATAGGGTGTAGCTACTATGTTTTTTTCTTTATAAAAATGTTGTTTATTCCTACCTAACCTATTTTCACATTTGCAGCAAGACATAAGGGTTATGTATTTGCAGATCGTGAAATGAGTGAAGAAAGTGCTGTATGGGGTGCTGGCGCAGCTGGTGGCGTGGCTCGATTCCGAACCCCCCACAAGTTGCAGATCGTGAAACCACTAGAGGGCTCCCTTACCCTTCACACCTGGGCTCAGCTTGCTAAGCCTAACATGTCCGGTATGTTTCTTTCCACGAGCACGTTGGTTTAATGGTAGCAAAATACGGATAATAATCAACGGATTTAAAAATTACTAATCAAGTTATAAAATAGGTCGACAGCAGATCTTGTTTAAGTGTTATTTTGCCACCCAAAAAAATCTATATGATACAGTAAAAAAAAACAGTATAACAAAACATTAATGACATGACTTTTACTTTTAAGGCTTACTAGAAGAACAGGAAGGAGTGGGGGTCCGGGGTTCAAGGTCAGCTCAAGCCCTCGGTCTGCGAATGTACCGGCTCTCTGATGTTGAGGAAGACGATGATATGCTGAGGTTGCCGCATTCCAGTCACATTTACACATTTACCAATAGGTAAGACAGCTTCGTTTAATACTCTTTGAATTTAATATGACGCTTACTCATAAACAATATATATAGTTTTGTCATAGCCAATTTAGCGGATAAAGAATTTTTCTATTGTCTATGATATTAAAGAAAGCTGAATCACAAAGCTTGCATATATGAGAGATATTAACTACTAAGTGTAAGAAAAGCTTTATTTATTTCTTTATTGCATTATAAACAGGGATTAGCTTAGTATTGCAAGTCAAAATGTGAATTTTATTGTTATAAGCATATATTATTTTGTATATCTAATATATTATTCGCTCTGAGAATCTCCTAAAACTGCTTTATATATTTTTCGCTAAGCTAGAGAGTAGGTCATAAAAATTGCTTGTTCACTAAGCTTTATTGTCCCATAACAGCACCGTGTTACATCCAAACGATGGCAGCCTCGTAGGTAGCAGTGTAAGCAGCGTATGCAGCAGCGGTATGAGCAGCCTATCCAGCAGCGTTCTAGGAAGCGCGTGGAGCTCCCGTCTCACCTCCAGACGATCGTCCGCTGCGGTATCTCCAGTTCTATCTCGACGAGAATCGTTCTGTACTCCCAGCGCGCCCCCGTCGCGGCCTCACTTCACCCCAACTGCAACACCGGCCAATAGTCCACTGCTTGGTTCGCCAGATTCCTCTCCTCCTCCCACACCGCGACCGGGCGATGCACCACCCTCCCTCCACGCGTTGATCGCAAGCGGAACCTCCATTCTCCGACGCCGGTATCTAACCTCTCCTTCTGCAGATGGCTCACCGGCCCCCCTCGCTCTTCAGACACCCGGCTCATTATATACCGGTCTGGTACATCGAAGTCCTATGGAACAGTTGACGTGTTTGAAACGCACTCTGCGTTCGCCCGCTGCGCCGCCAGCCGAACGACCGGACGTCGCAGACGCCCCAGTCGCTCCCCTCGGGGTACCGGCCCACCCTGGACAGGGTGCCTTGGAGACAAATGGCACAAACACAATAGGCAGACGGGGTAGAGCACAACGGGCACCTCGACCGCGAGCCGATCTCGGTACCGTTGGCGTCGTACCGAAGTCTAATAACAGCACTCCGCTTAGTTCCTCGCCGCTCGGCACGCTCAGCACCTTCCTATTTGGCAGAAAAGGTGGATTACTGTGAGAGCCCTTAAGGTCATGAAGGTATTTAGTACTCGTTAGGGCTCTGAAGCGAGATGCCGCACACAAGTCAGCCGACAATGCGATTAAGCGGTAGATAACCTTGCTTAATAAGAGACGACGTGCATTTTCTAATCGTTTATCATTATGGCTGGCAATATTCTTTTGTACTTTTTGTGATTTAGGCGTAGGCGTAGATAGTAGTCTAAAATTGAGGTACCTTTTTTATTAGATCTATGTTTGAATGTCAACTTGTGTTTCGTTGTGAATCATTTTTATGTTTCTGAGTATTTTATTTTATTTGACATTGTTTTTTTTATGATTATTACAATTATTGCATTTAGGAATTTTTATGTATATTGTTTGTTAAATAACCAAAGGCATGAATATCGATTATTAGGATTGTAAATTTCGAAACGAGAATTGGTTAAGTCAACATTAATGACAGATGTACGTTTTTATCAAAAACATTTAATTACAAATCGATATTATTTTTGTAACCGATTGCTTATGATTACTTACAAATGTTGAGTAAAAACGAATTTGTGTAAACTAATTTGCACCAAAATGTATAGTATTATAATAACCTGTATAATATGTATGAATGATTGCAATTTTTGTTTGTAGAGTACAAATTATTATTTTAGTAAGCAAAACAGTGACAAATCAATAAGTTATAATAATACATTTCTTGTACTTTGTTTAATGATAAGTTTGACAGTTCACGTTTATAAAAATTGTTTCTTTCGTACCAATATGTAAACTGTACTATATTTAAAATATCGTACTGTAATAGGCGGTATGAACTTGTTATACCTAACCATTGTACATTGATTGAATGACGTTTCTTTTTTATTTACTATATTAAATTAAATCTATAATTATTAAATAGATTTCCCTAATGATAAAAAAAAAAACATAAGTATGGCATCACCCTATATACTTTACCGTCTCTACTGTCGAACTTATCAACCTATATGAGGCAAAAAGACTATACCTTTTTAAATGTAATACTTAACTCTATGATTAATAGAGTAAGCTATTATAGACAAATTCGGTCATATTTGTTAACAATGACTTATTGTTTGTCAAGTCAGGGTCTAATTGTAAGATGGTGCATAGACGTAAGTAGAAGTGAATTAAGCGCATCACGACACGACACGACAGTAGAATCGACACAATCGTCTCTAGTAATCAAAGTAAGCTTAATTATTTATTTTATCCATAAATGTTAGTTGTAAAATGAGGATTTGAAGTACTTATGTCACATTCACTGACATTAGCTTAAGTAATAATAACATTCATTGCATATCCAGAAAGTATTTTTGTATACGATGTTGGCGTTTTCATTTATATTAAAGAAAAGGCCTTGTCAATTATTGCATTAGTACATTTTTGTGCTTGTCTCAAGATGTTGTCTCCTAATTATATTTGCGAACTTCAATCATTTTAACACAGTCTTTTGTTTCACTATCAGCTGAATAATTACTTTAATTTACACTTTGAATAATATAAAAGCTCGTCGCAAAACATAGACCAATCAATTAACTTGATTTTAAATAAATAATAATTTCACGCTAAGTAAGAACGTTTGATTAAATAAATCTCGCGACAATCTTCTATATTATATAAATGTAATGGCGTCATAAGTTTAAACTTTATTATCTTTGTACATGACATTAAAAGCTGGTTCGAACTGTTTGGTTGTCGTGAACTTGAAAGTATTCTTCTTTCCTCATTGGTGCTAAGTAGGTGGTAGCCAGTGATATGGTCATGTGACGACCGTTGGTCATCACAGGATCGTCTAGAATAATTTTTTATCCTCGTAGAAGACTTAATAGGTTAGTTATCTTGTTTTCCATGTTTATTCGAAGCATTTAGAGGATGTGAAAGTAGTCAATACGGCTGTGAGACGAATTGTTCTGTAACATTGGCAGTTATACTATAACAAGATCTACTTACTAAATTCGTAAGGCACAAAATGTACAGTATAAGCGTAACTTGTTGAGATTTGACGATTACAATGATTGTAAAATAATAGAAAATAAATTATTCCAACATGTATATATTGTTTTAATGACTATTTAATAATTCAAACACTTCGTAAACGAAAGTCATTTTTTTCTTAATCCATGAAGATTAACCCAAGTCACCAGCATTCTTATTCATGGTCTTATTGGAGACATGGAATGTGTAATATCTTTTTAAAGCTCCAAAGATCACTTAGCTCTTAAATATAAAGTATTGTTATATATTAACATCTTATATATCTAGGTGCGAATGACCTTTAAGGGGAGATACGCCCCGACTTCCACGATAAGATTTGAACCACTCCCCTCCGGCCCCTTCAAGACGTTTTGTGGAGACATTTTCGTTTAAATTACTATCATTAATTTTTAACAACAGCTTCATAAAAAACTCCAATAAACGTTACAATGCCCTTTATGTGTCTCCTTTACTTATGAGATATTTTCTTTAAATGTTTTGTGTTTGTATTGGAAGGGATACTTTTATTTTTCTTCGTACATAAAGGCTCTTAGACAGAATAAAAAGTAAAGATTTTTGTATAATTTAAATGCCTATTGTATATTTTTTTCTTACATTAAACATAATGTAAGTATTAAAATCGGATACATAGACTGAACATATTTGCAGAGAATTGAAACAATATCAGTTTTGGTTGCCATGACAACTCAGTATAAACAAAAAATATATATTATATTGTCAGTGTTACTCCTATGTTACTACATTTATAATAAAATAATAAGGAACTTTTTTTAAGCGGAACATGACGGAACAGATTAAATTTATCGTAAAAGAAATAAATCAAACTCTAGGAAGAAATTATGATCTCATCAAATTTGATGGTTTAGATGAAAAGCAATTACTGCAGCTGTTGGTAGATTTGTTGGTGTATTTTAAAGCTGGTGAAAAGGTAAGAACGAATCAATATTAATTAATAACTTTATTAGTAATCTTTCTTATTTGGTTTCCGTAGACAAGTTGGGAAATTGTGTGTAAGTTTTGTTTCGCCCACCTTGCACATTTCGTTTTCCAGTAAACTTTCTCTCCTTTTATCTTGGATTGCCTGCAAGAGTTCTGTCGTTAGCGATAAGGCCGTAGTATATAAGTCTCGTTTATATATTTTTTTAGTTTTTAGTACTATTTTACTTTCAGTTAAGTAGAGTTATAATTAGTTATACCTTTAGTAAAAAAGTTAATACCTACACATAATATCTAGTACATTCAAATTGTGTAAGTACAAGTCAATTTATTATATTCTTTAATACGTTCCGTCTTATCTATAGCTTAGATCATTTGATAAAATGTCAGTAACGGTTCAAAACGCGAAATCTATCTAATAGTTTACTTTTTCCTTTCGTTTTTTGTTAACATCCGTTGCTCTATCGTGACAACATTTATTTTTCTGTTTTCTTCTAATGTGGCCATAATGTAATTGTTATTAACTTACAGTTAGATATTTGTGAAGATGACACTGAAGTTGTATCTGTGAGTTTGCTGGAAATGCTTGGTAACGTAAAATTGCGTCCCCCAACTGGGGCGGATCCAACGACATTTAGAACTCAACTCCTCGCGGGAGACGCTAGAACAATCCACCATGTGTTACATTGGCTTCTATCAAACAAGGAACAAGTTAAGGACACTGCTTATTTAGCAAGGTATTTTTAGTTTGAAATTTTTTATATTTTTCACATGATGGTACTATATAAATTAGAAATCGATTATAAAAAAAGATATAATAACCTAACGGTTAAAGTCCTGCTCGCGTCGTAAATTTTGTTTTATTTATAATCTATGTTTCATTTACATAATGTATTTTACTATCATTGTTTATGATTTTTCGGTTTCCCTAGCGAGATTTCACTGTCACGGTTTTATTGCAGGTTATTATTTTAATTAATAAAACCCGTAATAAATTGTGAATTGAAATATAAATTTGCACAGATTATCATTTTCTATTGCTGCTATATCCACGAATACTAGAGATCTACAACACTGACATACATTTTTATTCACCGCCTCGAGTCCAGGCAAAAAACCATATTTAAATTTCTTTGTAACCATTTTTTTTCCTTTTGTTTATTACCTACATTATAACATATAAATGTATAGTTTACTTTCGGATGTCATATTATCTTTCTGTACACAATGTGTTTGCCAATAATTGTTAAATGTATTTGTCATGCACCTTATTAATGAAAATATCATAAATGTATTAATGTAATTTAACGCTGTCAGACCAGTAATTAAATAAATAAAATTAAAGAATACCTCAAAGGGTCACCCATATGTGATAATTTTTTGCCAGACGGTTCCTCCGCTACGTTTTATTATGACCGTAAAAATAATGAGATGACGTGTGTAAAACGTATTTCCTTTGTGTAACGTTTTAGCTTTTGGCATTTTTACCTAATTTACATCACAAAGATGGTAAGTATGATTATCGATGAAGTGACTGTTTCAAACAATAATGTAAAACAATGGTGAAACAAGCGCGAGAGTTGATTTTTAAATCCCTGTAAACAATCATAAGTTTGGTAGTGTGAAAAAGTGAAAGCCCGTTTCTCCCTCGTGGGGCATGAGGCAAACACATTTCTATGTCCGTTTCACTGATCCGTTCTTTTAACGGGCAAGTAGTTGATCAGACTTCTGTGCCCTGCCCGACCGAAACAATTTTATGTTTCCCTGGGATTCGAACCCAGGACCTCTCGCGCTTAACGCAATACGATTAACTAGACAAATACGATTAACCCTTTGGCTGCAGAGGCGGTCAATTTTGGTAGGACAGGGTAGAAAACATTATCTACGTGCCTGTAAGTAAAACGGACATTAATATGTGTCCTTTCAGTGTTCTAATTAGACGAAATGACTTTTCACTTTATTGTTGCCGTTATTTCAATTACGGAGTTTTAACACATCAGTACGTGCGCAAAACTTTGTTCGCTCTCAGTTTGCACCCAATGTTTTATGTTGTGGAAATATTACTAGCAGCGCCTATTTCATTTTTCACAATTTTGTTATATTACGTTTGTATTTCGGACAACAGATTCCTTTTATTTCATTATATGGAGGCCGAACTAGTTCAGTTTCTTTCGTACTTAAGTAATATAAAATGTAGTAACTTCTGAATTATGAAACATTAATTATTTATTATTTCATAGTTGTATAAAATTTGAAATAAACCTTAACGATATATCATAATTTTAACGATAAGTATGATAGGTCGCATGTTCAGGTAACTTATTATTTTTTTTTATTTCACATTAATTAAATCTGAGTTTAAAAATAAATTAAATAAATCGTTAACAGGCTTTTATGTATTTAAAATATAGCATTACATAAATTAAGACGTTTAAATGAAGCATTAAAAATTCTTATTCTCCTAGGTATTTGAAAATTCCTGAAATACCAGCGGATGTTGTACGTAACAATACAATTCAAGACCTCTTAGACGTGTATAACAATCTGATTGGTGAATTTAAAGATGTTCACAAGAGAACAAGGCTTCTACGAAAGGAGAGCGCTACGGAAATTATAAATGATATCAAAGAAATGGCGGTGGAGCGAGATATAGGTAGTTAAATTAATAATAATATATATTTAATTTAATATACATCTGTACTTCGACAGAAATTACATATGTATTCAATAAATACTTATGCAAGTAGTAGTATTACTATTTACGATAAGTCTAGCAAATAAGCAAGACACGTTTAGAAAATCAGTAATTAATTTTAGAAACACGCTAAGCAAAACGAGAATCGGACCAACTACCCGTCGATTATTAATATCTAATAGATATCCATTGCTAGAACTGAACACTGAAGCGAGCCTGGTGAGCTGATTTCTCAGTCTACCTTCATGGTAGTTCAATAACTTCAAAATTATATTATAATATTATTTATTAAATAATTTGAAATTTGTTTAATTATAAATACAGTGGTTTACTGCTTGAAACCACCGTATATATTCTATAATAAAAAATCTACGTATTCTAGTACTTCTACATACTAGTTACGATTGTGTTGAGAAATGAATGTTTTAATTAGATTCGGATGGATAAAACTTGTACCAGAGTAGATAAAGAATAAAACGCGATATGTTTGCTAGAAATAGATTGATTGTCGGCGTACCTCAAGCGTCCGCCTAACGTTCTAAGTAATTAATAGCAACAGGGAGGGCAAAGCGTAGAAATGATTACATTCTAGCGTTTCAGTAAAAGTAGCGATATTTACACAATCTACGTGATTTGGTTTGGGAAACTCTGCGGTTGGATGTTTGCAGACTGTTATGTATTCGCAGTGGCTATTAAACGCAGTAGGTTGGCGAAAAGCAATTAAATTGGTCACAATAGATATGATAGGCTGCAGATGATATTGCACAAAGTTAAAATTTAACCTTTTTAAAATAACTGTAATGGTTGAACAAACGACATATTTTACGTATAACATTTACCAAATTAAATTAAATTTTTTGAGTGGTGGAATGAGAATATTCTCAGAAGAAAATGCCGCAATGGTCAATACAAAATATTAATGCCGGCGGTCTGTGTTTAAATATAGCGGACGTAGTAAAACGTTGCTTAGACCCGCCGGTGTGGCGACGCCTTTCTATATCTATGCCTTAATTTTATTTATAAATTAAACTTCCTTACTTAAAACGTTCGTAAAAACAATATACTATATCTCGCTTACGATGGTAGTTCATGATTCGGAGGGAATTTTCAATATTCCACTCATTTAATTCCAGATACAGATGGAATGCAACAAGTTTCAGAAATATTATAAATTTATCAAAAACATTCATACATTGCTAACAATAAACCAATGTTATTTTTAAATTCTTGCTGTAGTTTTTGAGTTTATTTAATAGAAACATACTACACAGAAAGATAAAAATCTACCTGTTTATAACATTTATCCTCGTTATAATACTCGCGTTATTGCTAGAACTTTTATGATATATAAGATACATTTCTTTAATTCTAAGTTTTCATTTGCAGTGATTAAGAGATTAGAAAACGTTCAAGTTCACTTAGCTGACGTCAATAACAAGGAAGAACTTTTACACGAAAGTAAACTTTTGAGGTTGCAACAGGAACGAGCCAAGGAATTGGCCTCACAGGTAAGTATAGTTCATGTGTAAAAAGCGCGTAGCCGCGAATGATGTGAAATCCGTTTTCCCTTTGTAATTCTTGGGATATGGGATGACATTTGACATTTCTGTCATCGGTTTTTTGTTTGATTCTTATTATGGCAAGTGTTTATCAAATCTCGTGTTCGTAATTTCAATAATATCCAGAGTTATTTATATTTTTTCGGTATTAAAACCCGCGACCACCACGAATTTAAATGTTTACTATTTTGACTTATGTGCGTAGATAATAAGACACATGTGTCAACTCAGTGTGCGTTAATAGTCCACAAGTTTTATTTATAATCAACATATAGGTATCAGAAATTAAAATAGTGGAAAGTGGAATCTCGTTTTCGTTTCGTTTCATTAATAGGGTCAACATATATTTGTGTCCGTTTCACTTAGTGATTCATGTTTACAGAACCCGTCTAACCATTGAGCTGTGGAAGTGATGATTAAAAATAAATATTCTTCCATGCGTGTTTCCGGGTTATTTGTATAAATTTTGTAGGAAAAGATAACTTCTTGTTTCAAATGTGTAGTTGACGCGTTGTAAAACATATGGTTATTTATTTCCCAGTTTGATAGACAACAAACTCAGTTAAAAACTGCGTCTGATCAGCTGAAACGATACCTCAACGTAATTCATGGACAGAGTGCCAACCCTAAAACGGCTAGTGATGTCATTAAACATTTACAGGAAGAAATGCAGGTAACAACGGTTTTAAATATATATAAGTATAAGTATAAGTTTAGCATGATAATGCACATTTCTTAAAAGTAAAGAAATTACAAAGACAGTAGCTCGTTGTTAATAATATTAAGTTATGGCTCGCCGGTTCGAGGCCCTCGTGTGTCATCTATTCTGGAAATATTTGTAATCTATATCATTATTATCTAAAATTCTGGATTGTCTTATAACTTTTAAATGTTTTAGTTTAATACTTATCTGGTCAAAGAAAAAATGCCACAGGAGAGCAATAATTTACAAAAAGAATTGAATATTATGCAGACCGTCGCTATGGAACAACATCCGACACGTAGCGATTTAAACAAAGTGCAAGAAAAGGTAATATTTTAACGATAATAAATAAGATAGCTATTTAAAAAAATACTCGAAGTTTAGGATGTTTTAAAACATGGCAGGCATTAAAATCAACAAAATAAATACTTCGCGTATCGAACCATTAAAAGTTTTATTTAATGGATACCACTCGAGGAAATTACGGATTCAACTTTATTGTTATAATTTTTGTCCCTTTGATTTTAAAACGTAGTCTTATTTAATCTCATGATAAATTCAATAGATTAAATTAGTGGTATGCTATGCACTTTTCGCATAGCATTTGTTTGTTTGACAATTCAGTAGTTGATGTATACTTGCAAGCATTATGTTTGCAATTTGCTTATACTTCACCACTGTGATAAAACATGTGTCTGTTCAAATCTTTTTCTTTGATGCCATTCTTAAACTATTCTATTTGTATAATATTATAAATATTATTATTAGACATTACTCATGCGACTCGAATAGAATCCAACTGCTCACGACTGCGGCGAAGCATCTGATACTTCAGGTCGTAGTTAACTATGTATTATGTGTTCCGTTAGACGTCCGAGGTCCATTATGAGAGAGTACATCGTTAGTTCCTCGCTTTGCCGCTAGATGTCGACCTTTCTCGATTTCCCCCCGCCACCGCCAGCGCCCCCTCCACTGTAACTCTACCTGAATTTGCCACGCACAGGCAAGCCGCCAGACTCTTAGATCATTGTTGCGTCGTTTTTCGAACTGCGCGGTCGCTAGTTCTAGCTTTAAAAAACGAGTATTTTTATTGCTTTAAAAAATTTTTTATTCGACCTACAAGTCTAGTGAATTTCCCATAAAAGTTTTTTGAAGTGAAGTGGTTAGAATGAGCAATACAAGTGCTGACGTGTATAATGAAGAAAATAAAACTGTTAAAAATTGTGAAGACGTGTCTTCCATGCAATTAAGTGTTTCGAACGTGCAGTCAGCGATGCCAACTCAGCACGTTGAGAACGAATTATCTGCGTCTTCCAACGAGTCGTGTTCATCGTCAAGTACTAGTTCGAGCGAAGAAGAGGATCAACCGCCGCCAAAAAGACCACGAAAAGAACGCCACGTACGCAGCGATTCTCGCGATTCGTTTCGAGAAATAGATTTAAGGTTTGAACAGTTGTCTCGACAGTTGGTAAGTCATTTAAATAATACGTTTTGCAACTACGTGGCATCATCAAACTCACATCAGAAAGTGAGCACCGAATCTAATGTCAACCTAAGCGATCCTTTTAGCAATTCACCAATAATTATTAAAGATATTGCACAATTAGACGTGTCGGTTCAGGAACCACAGATTCCAAAGGCAAACTCTGATCGCGTGTCAAAGTTAATTTCAATGCAGAGGTTCAACTCCTCCGATTGGAATGGTGTACGATATGTAGACATACAAAAGAAGTATGTGGCATTCCCTGCTTTTACCGAACTGAAAATTAATGAAGAGTTGCGTTTCTTAGAGCATCAAAATGGTCAGAAGTCTTACCTTATGGAACGGAGTTTTGCTGCGTTATCTAATGCTTTTTTAGCACAAAATGAGTTTGTTAACAAAGCGTTGCGGTCTATTATAGATTGGTCCTCTCAGTCGGACGTTATACTTAATTCTTCTTCTATTTATGATAAATTAAAAGAATTTTTCGGTCAAAACTCGGAATATAAGGCGGTTTCTCATGACATTTTGCAAATAATTTGCGGAAAACGTGCTGAAGCTTTAGAGTTACGACGTAAAACATTGCTTACAAATTTAAAAAGAAAATATGTAAGAGAAGATTTGGACAAAATTCCGCCTTCTGCAGAATATATGTTTAATCCGGAAATATTATCTACATATTTACAAAAAATGGGTGGTACTGATAAAATTGATAAGATCGTTGGGTCTCAACCTAAGACGCGAGGCAAGTCGCCAGCGCACGGCAATCCACCTATGCCTTCTACGTCTCAAGAAAAGCCCTTTCGTGTTAAACAGTACAATGCAAAGCAAAATCATAAAAAACAAAACACGGAAGATTTTGATAAAAAACAAAGGGGGGGACGCAAATCTAATAGAGTTAATAAATATAAGCATAAATGACTCAAAAGGATTTTCGGGCGGTTGTTTGAGGTACTATCGCAAAAATTGGAAGAAATTACATCCTCCTTCTTCAATTCTGAAAATTATTACTTCCGCTCGAATACCTTTCAATCAACGACCACCCTTGCTAATACCTACGCAGGATATTCTAAAAAAGTTCGAGACTCCTGTGTCAGCGGTCATGAATCTAGAAATTCAAACAATGATTCGAGAGCGTGTATTGGAATTTGCACCCATGACGCCATCTTTCATATCCCCGCTTTTTATAATAAGAAAAAACAACGGCAAGAATCGTGTGATTTTCAATCTGAAGGCATTAAATCAGTTTATGAAACCCGAGCCCTTTCATCTGTTTCATCACTATCAAATGCCGAAGTTCTTACAACAGGGCGATTGGATGGTAAAATTGGATATCAGCCAGGCTTACTACCACGTCCCAATCTCGGTGAAACACCGATGTTTCCTACGTGTCAGTTACAAGGGAAGACTACTTCAAATGACGTGCCTACCATTTGGCTTAGCAATCGCTCCAAAAATGTTTGCTTCGGTAACAAACTGGACAGCAGAACTTTTACGCCGTCAAGGTTTAAGAGTCATTGTCTTCTTGGACGATTACCTGCTCGTCCACCAGGACAGGGAAGTCCTCCAGGCCCAGGTTCACAAAGCCATGCAATTTCTGCAGAATCTAGGCTGGAACATAAACTCAAAGAAATCGATATGCACTCCTACGAGACTAATCGATTTTCTGGGTATCACTTGGGACACAAACTCAAACAGAAAGTTCCTACCCACAGAAAAAATCAACAAAATACGTCAGTGTCTATCGACTCGTCTGTCAGCCGGCAATTGGACTCTCAAGCAGGCCCAATGCCTCTTAGGGTATCTCAATTTTGCAACCTTCATCACCCACCGGGGAAGGTTGCACTGCCGAACGCTACAGCAACACAGCAATGCTTTAATGATGAGTCCAATTCAGAGCAGCCCATTGGCAGAAGAAGTGAGACAAGAATTGGCTTGGTGGCTGCACAACATCGATCAAAAGACCGCGATCCACTTGCACAGAAGTCGCACAAATTACCTAACAACAGACGCTTCCGATGTTCAGTGGGGAGCTCTAGTCAACAGCAAATCTGTCAGAGGTCATTGGACTCCGCGGCAAATGACCTGGCATTGCAATCTGAAGGAGATGCATGCTGTAATAGCTGCAATCTTATCGGATCCAGAAGCCTTGAAGGATTCGAAAATAATTCTACAGAGCGACAGCAAAACAGTTGTATCGTATATAAAAAACGAAGGCGGAACGAAGTCGAAAAGACTGCTTGCAATGACCAAAGAACTTTTGGCACTGACGGACAGTTTGAATATAGTACTAATCCCTCATCACTTACCGGGAATGTACAACATGGAAGCCGATCATCTCTCGCGAAATCGCAAAGGCGGCGAATGGCATCTTTTACCCGAGGCAAGCAGGGAAATATTCAATCTGTGGGGAACACCCGAAATAGATCTTTTTGCTTCAAAAGAGGCACACGTCGTGGAGAATTATGTTACGCTAGACTTATTAGACTGGAACGCTTGCTATCACGACGCCTTCAGCAGATCCTGGAAATACGACCTGGCGTGGATATTTCCTCCGCCGGCGCTTCTACCTCAAGTATTGCACCACCTCAACTCAGCGCAAGGCAGGTTCATTGTAGTAGCACCCAAGTGGATGAAGCCTTTTTGGCGCCCAGATCTAAAAAATCGAGCTTTGGCTCATCCAGTTATGATACGAGATCTCGACAAAACTCTAATCAACACCGTGACACGGCAGGCTCCGCCTCAAGTGTTGAAATTACAAATGGAAGCATGGTTAATTTCGGCTGGGACTCGCTTATAGAAAACTGGTCGAATGATGAGAAAAATCTCCTTTCAACATGCTGGAGGCAATCCACGAGGAAAACCTATGCTCCTATTTGGAAAAAATGGGTGAAGTGGTGTCAAGAAAATAATTTAGATTATCAATTCCCGGCGCCAACTAATGTGGCTAGATATTTAGCTAGACTATTCCTCAATGATCATTTAGCTTATCGATCTATCTTAGTGCACAAATCTGTTATAGCATCAATTTGTGAAACCCTAAGTGATGTAAAAATTTCTTCAAATAATTTGGTAAAACATTTGCTTAAAGCCATCTCCATCGCTAAACCAATACCTCAAAAGCTACCAATATGGGATGCGAGAACGGTCATACATTACTTAAGAGATTCGAGCCCGAATGAAAATAGTCTATTTGATGTCTCGAAGCGAACAGCCACTATTCTCCTATTGACATCAGGTCGTAGAGTGCATGACTTAACTCTCTTGCACTGTGACCCTCAGCATTTCATTGATAAAGGTGACTCAATCATTTTGCACCCAGTATTCGGTTCTAAAACGGATACAGGATCGTATAGGCAATCTAGTTGGACATTATTAGATTGTCCTGATAAACGTTTAAATCCTTTATTTTGGCTTAGAACGCTAGTCGAAGTATCTAAGTTTACTAGAGGCTCCCTAACTAATTTATTTATTACCACTAGGGACCCGGTAAAACCGGCTACAACTACTATTATAGGGGGTTGGGTTAAGAAAGTCCTTTCAGAATCGGGCATAGAAGCCTCGCCTGGTAGTTGTAGGTCAGCTGTGGCATCTCTCAATTTTTTAGAAAAATATCCCATTAATGAGATTCTTGCCAAAGCAAATTGGCGCCACGAACAAACGTTTAAGAGATATTATTGTCGAAATGTAGAGAGTAATACTCAGAGTGTTGAAACACATTCTCTGTCTCAATACTTTAAGCCTAGTGATGATTAAATAATATTTAGTACCTACTGTATGATATAAAAAATGATTTTGAATTCCATCATGATTATTTAATAAATAATTTAAATTCACATTGTTGCGTTCTATTTTACAAGCCACCAGGAGATAACAAACACTTCTCTCATAATGGACCTCGGACGTCTAACGGAACACATAATATGGAAATTTTACCTTAAATTAAAATTTTTATTATGTTTCCTGAGACGTCCGAGGTCCAGACAAGGTCTACCTGGTTATTCACATTTATTATGAGATTAACAATGATCTAAGAGTCTGGCGGCTTGCCTGTGCGTGGCAAATTCAGGTAGAGTTACAGTGGAGGGGGCGCTGGCGGTGGCGGGGGGAAATCGAGAAAGGTCGACATCTAGCGGCAAAGCGAGGAACTAACGATGTACTCTCTCATAATGGACCTCGGACGTCTCAGGAAACATAATAAAAATTTTAATTTAAGGTAAAATTTCCAAAATATATTTTGCGTTTTTAAACCCTTAAAAAATTTTAAAATAAAAAAAATTTTTTTTCTTGGAGTAAATTAAATAAAAAATTTTTTTTTTAAAGAAAATTTCAAATAATTAAAAAAGTATTTTGTAAAGTTGAAAACTTCGACGATAAAGGCATAACACGAAGCCAGGACCAACCTTATATCGGTCGGTTGGTCGTGCGTTTGAGTCCCGGCTCTCAGCCCGTGTCTGTCATCCAGTTGTTTTTACATAATATTCACAATACTTTAGATATCCAAAGTGAACGGGGAAATTGAAGAGTTGGTACAGCAAAGGCTAGCTGCATCTGGTTCTAAAGAAGATAAGCTGGCACCATTCCGCCAGCAGGCGACTGTGATAAGGCGTAACAAGGAAGCCAGCGCTGCACATGTGCACGAGTTGACGGCTGCACTGAAAGAGCACGAGGTTACTCTTGCTGATTTACAGTCACAGGTGATGAATAATTCATTATTTAGTACTTCTCTTGGTCGTCGTATACCGCCTCTGTAGCCAAGTGGTTAAACGTATTGCCTAGCATTACGTTAAGCGCAAGAGGTCCTGGGTATGAATCCCAGGAAAATAAAAAATAATTTTTGTCGGGCAGGGTACAGAAGTCTGATCAACTACTTGCCTGTTAAAGAACGGATCAGTGAGGGTGACACAAAAAATGTGTTCGCCCCCACGAGGGGGAAACGGGATTTCACACAATCGGGTAGTAGATACAATTGTTGGGTTCCAAAACGATGTTTATCTTAATGTAAAGCTTGAGTTGCCCAAAGGTTGTACATAATTGATGTACAACCGGGAATCGAATTGCCACCCTAGAAAACAGGAGAAGGCTGCACTCCAACGTTTCACAATTTAAGTTTGGTTTGGACGGGCTCGGTAGTCGAATGGTGATGTATGGCTAATAATCGACAGGTCGTAGGTTCGACCGGGTCCAATACGGCTTTAATTTTTTCAGTTAATGATTTTTCTGAAATATGTTGGACTTCATCTGAAAATCTGAATAATTAACAAGTGTGGTAGAAATATCAAAGTTCCTTCCGTCTGTCCGATAGATGAAAAGGCCGTGAAGTCAAATCGCGTTTCGGTTTCCGTCTGTGGATTTCCGAATATTCGAAGCCAAAATGGGTCAACAGCACATTGTGTACGTGTTAAATCCTGCTCTATCATTGAATAAAATCCGACGTGCTATTTTCCAGCAGGTTTTCCATCAACTTTTACAGCAGTAATCCTTTATTTACCAAATCTCTGCTGATATAAATATTATGTAAAGGTAACATTCTGCGTAAAGTGTAAGCCTATGTTACGACTTGTGATAATGGCAAGTATATCTGTTATGTAAGGTTCGATAAGAGTCGTGCCAACCCTCCAATTTAAAGTGAGCCGATGCCCCATTTGGCTCGTAAAGGGTGAGTTTTTTACATTACGGAAGGGATATTTTACGTACAATATTTGTGTCGATGCAAATTCTTATCTTTTGAATTTTCTTTCTTTGAACCATTACTTAATCGTATATTAAGTAAGATTAAGCCTTAAGGATTAGAGATTTAATTAATTTGTATCGGTGTAATAATCTATAAATATTTTTAGCACCAATAAGCGTATTAATATCTTTTCATTATGCCGTATTCGGAAAAACATCAATCAATTACTGATGACAAACGATGCGTATGTTGGGAAATCGATCAGGGGGCAATTCTCGAAAAGTGAACGATTTACGGCGATATATGTCGCAAAAATAGTGGCGTAGTTCGATTTGTATACAATTCGTGACACGAGTCGACGAATATCTAATCGCGCTTATGTGAATTGCCCCCTACATATTTTTCTCATTTCATGTAATCGGTCATTCTGCCAAAGCTTAGAGATAAAGCTTTCAGCGATAAGGGCACCGTTCAGATGTTTAAGTGCTGTTATGTACTGCTTTGATTATATCAACCATGCGATAAACCGAAAATTTAAATAAGATCCCCCGAAGCGATAAACGAATCTTTTCTTTCTATAAATAGGTTAAACAACTGCTCGGCGACATGGTGCTGAGAGGCGAAGAATTGAAAAAATATGTAAATTCCTTACGAACCAAAAGTACTGTGTATAAAAGACAAAGAGCCAATCTGTCAACGTTCAAGGTATATATCGTTTCTTATGTAAGCTTAGCTGAAGCTGTATACTTTAATATTATTTCGAAATGAATATTTATAGGTTGAAGCTGGTATTCTGACTAGAACTTTGCAAATAATTAGCTCCGCAGATCCAACTATAGAAATGGCTTTACTTAATTATAAGAAAATGAAAATCGATGACGTCGAAGATGTGGAGAGAGAACCACAATCTGATTTAACGAGGAAATCTTTTCACGACCTATCTCAGGTATGAATTTTGTAGTTTTTTGAAACTGTATACTGAAAAGCATTAAACCAAACAAATATTTATTTTATATAGTTAAAAAAGAAATTAAGGCTTCTAACCGTTGGAGACGACTTTTTTTACTGGCATCCGAATTAATCAATGAAACGAATTGGTTAAAACCTCGAAAAGATGGCTTTATAAGATAAGAGTTTATTTTCAGATTGATTTTTTTCTGTTTTATTGTACCGAATTCTGTAACATCAACAGAGTTGTATAAATTTATTAATATTCAAAAAAATCTAGACAATATTAATATGTAGGCTAAATGGCTTTTGTATTGAATTGTTACAGTTAGTTGCCCAAACGGCTCAAACACTTTCTGAAGTGAGACAAGAACTACAGCCATTAGCCGACAAAATAAAACCGATAAAACAGGAATTCCAAGCAATACAACAACAATATGAACAAAAGAAACGGGCGTACGAGGCTACCTCTATAAATATATCGTCTCAAATGGAACCCTTGAAGAGTCAAGTGAAGGAATTGACGGATCAGTTGAATAGTAAAGAGGATGAATGGAAAAACTTGAGGCAAAAGATCACAAAGGCTGAAAGTTTACAGGAAGTGGTGATGGTTGAAATGAAAAATTCGATGCAGAGTCCGCGTCAGCCGTCCAAAATGGAATCTATGAAGAGGCGAATTGCTGATTTAGAGGACATTGTTCATAACTTAGAAGAGGTAATTTATTAGTAGGATTATTGTTTTATCTTTGTCTTTCTCATTACAGGTAATCATATCGTCTGCGTTATTAACACAAAAAAGATAACATAATATGACTATTATACGACGCATATAAATAACAAACCTTATCTATTCTACAATAGAAGGTACTATGGTAGCCACCAAAATAAATTCACTAATATATTCCGCATTTTAAACTTCTCTACCAACTTGCGTACACTTAACTACTATCTATTAAAAGCCATTAAATTCTAATTATGGGACTAAAATTTTAAGGAGACATAAATCGTGTTGTAAGGTTTTAGCTATATGTTACATTTTAAAAATTATTATTTATCTATATTATTGTGCACGTGTATTTACATCTGTAGTATATAAAGTCAAAAGCATAGTTAGGTGTTTCATTGTGTGTGCCCTGTGTAAGTATACGTTACGCAAGGCACATTTTTCTAGTGTTAAATGTCAAATTATTTCTAGGACCAACGTGCGATAAGCTCTCGTCAAGGCGCGGTGGAAGAACAGACTCGTTTGTGGCAGAATACTCTAGAACTCCTTCGGTGTAAGTTGAAGAGCAGGAATGAGCCAGCAGCACGAGAAGGACGCATGCACATAACCCAACATTCGCAAATGTTAACCTTGACTTAATCCAAACGACACTGCAAAAATTTTGTCCCTTAGAAACGTCATTTTAAGCTTAGTTTGTCAAGCAATTTGTTTGAAGTGATTCGTGCAATAAAGTAAGTATATACCTATTTGAAGTTGTGTTCTTAATACATCATAATTATTTTAAGTAACATTGATACCATATAATAACGCACGTAGGTTTTGAAACCTGGACGGAAGACGTTCAATACAGATAATACTAATCTTTATTTAAATATTTATTTGAATGTCGAAGTCCAAAATAGGTCTTTAAGACCAATTTAGATAGGCTACAATAGGCTGGGGTATCTTACCTCTTTCCAAATATGTACTTTACAATTTCGTTGGAATCTTACAATGAATCGAATATTATAAATTGAGTATTGTATTCTTTGTAACAGTAAATTAAAAAAAAAACGTTTTAAATAAAAACTTACGAGAGTTGTACACAAGTAACGAAACGATTAAACACACTCTTAGAGTCCTTAGAGGATTCAAAACTTCAAGTCATAGCCGAGAATACATTAACTTATTTATTTCGCAGTTTAAACCATTAAAGTGTTTTCCTTCACGTGTACTACTCGTAAGTTAAAAATATTTTTTTATTTAACATTTGCAATTGCTCGAGTACAATATTTAGTGAAACTCAATTCTAAATTGTGACTTTTTGTATTCCATTTAATAAATCAACGTAAACTCCAAAATGAGTTTCTATACGAGAGTGTAAGCCGCGCCGTAACGCGATCCACACAATATGGCACACGCTGCAAAGTTAATAAATTTGCATTGCAGATGATGTTTCCCACGTCTCCTGCTCAATCAAAGGGTAGACGTGCGCCATTTGAAATATACTATTCACTAATACTGGGACCTTAGCCAAAATACCCTTTATTTTTTTAATGATAGAGATAGACAGACGGGCATGGGGCTCACTCGATGGTAGCTAATATACCCCAAGCTATAGCATCTTAACAAGATGCCCTGCTAACCTATTTTTAGCTTTGGATGTTTGGAAATCCATAGACTGACACCGAAACACGATTAAGAGTTCGGTAGTTCGTGACCCGGATGGAATTTCTATATTCCTACCACCTACATAATAAAAATATTAATTGGGAAATTAGAAATTTTGACCAACGAGACCGTCAGGCGTCTTATTGTTTTGTAATTGTTTGATTTGACAAGCGGTTGTTTTATAGGTGTCACCTTAAAGTGGAATAATTAGAAGGTCCATTTATTGTAATTCCAAGTATTGGAAGTTAAGAAAAGCTTTTTAATATTAAGAACTAACGTTCATAAGTGTACATAGTTGGCTAGAATAAATGATTTTTGACTTTGACTTTTAAAACTCAGTGAAAAATCATTTTGTTGTAAAGTTTTCCGAAGCCGTGCGTCCAGCTCGTTATTCCGATTTCCATTACAACATTTTACTTGAAAGCGAAGGTTCGATGTAACCTCTAATTATTATTTGTACGTGAAAAAGGAAAATTCATGAATAGCACTTCACTCTAAATTCAATAATTATTTACAAAACTGGGAATTTTTACTTTCTAAAGCCTGTGTACAACGTGACATATATGTTGAAGAGGTGTACATTTGCTAATCAGGTGTAAAGTTCCTAACCTTTATAAGTTTTTAAGGTCATTACACAAATGAAAAAAGGCGGTCGCTTGACTTATCTTGACAAACAAATAAAGGGAGAGTGCTAGAGTTTATCTAGGCATGTTTTAAAGAAAATAATAGTAATAGAAATATCGATTTAGCATCGAAATAAGCACTGAACGCTGAAGATGCGGGATCAAGGCCCGCTCGCATGGTAATTTTTATTCTATCTAGAATCGATTTTTAATTTATATAATAAAAATATTATAGTTTTCATTTCAAATATTCTATATATCATATGCCCGTTTCCTAGCTCTTAAATTCAATGTGTCATGGGCACTATACTAAATATTTTTGGTCCACAACGAGGTACTCGCGAAATGTTAGTCCATACGCCTGACGTGGAAGAATGGAGCAATACATTATTCGTGAACTCATTACTGAAGTATTGGGTCGTTGTAACTAGGAGAGGATACTCTATCAACAGAACGTAAGCCGTATGAGATGCCAATGCTCGTAGAGCTAATTTGCTTACTCGTGCAAAGCTTTCATTTGGAACAGGTATTTGGTACAAATGTCATTTTCTAAGTACTCTATGTAGTTTTCGTGAGTAGTACACATTTAAATAGAACGTTTAACGGTTTAAATGCGAAATCTATTAGTTAAATTTATTTACGAATTAATTTAACCATGGCCCGACGTTTTGGATGCTTTGCAGCAGCACGCGAAGACGTCGGAAGCATCTGAAATGGCGGGCTATAATTAAACTCATTTGTAAATAATTTTAACTAATTCACTTCGCGTTTTAAACCGTTAAAGTTTTTTTATTTGAATGTTATTATAGTTAGTGGAGAGACAAAGTTTTAACTACTTAATAAACAATATTGTTAAGGTTTAATCATTTAATTTGATTAATGTTTTAATAAATGTCACCCAGTACACTTGGGAACGAGGAATATTTAAAGTGTTAAGAAAATTTAATCTTACTTAATTCACATATTGTAAGCGTTTAACGTTACATAGAAGAAATTACGGAAACCCCCCTCTCGGCAATTACCCCACCACGCATCATTAAGGTATGATCTAGATTTCTAAATGAGCTCTGCTATATAATTTCAGCAAATCTAAATGAATCTTCTAAAAATGGCGATTAAAGCGTAACATCCCCCAAAATCTATTATCGGAAAATGATATTTGATTTCCTGATATAGGTGATATTGACATTTTAAGAATGATCGATCTTCACTTACATTACCCTGAGGGCATTACTGGATAACGCCAAGGCTTAATGTCAAACGTTTCGATCATTCTTTCGTACATATTTTATTTCTCCAACTTTGATAAGCATTGAGTAAAATGTCAATAAATTACAAACAAATTGTTTCTTCATAAAGTTTCCGCATTAAACTAAGGAAGACATTTTGACGTTCTTGGTGATGTAATGGTAGCTTTATCATTAATCAACGGGTTATGCGTACGATCCCCATCGAGTCCAACATTTTTCTAATCAATTTATATTTTCTGTGAAGCACGTTGGACTTCGCCTGGAAATCTGGATATAAAATTGGTGGAATAACGAAGTTCCGCCCGGTTTACGACACACAACAGTCCACAGATGTAAAAGACGTCAAGCTTAATCGCATTTTGGTTTCAATCTGTCGATTTCTAAAGCAAAATGAACCCAACATAAGTTTGTAAGATTCTTTTAAATTTATTTACGTCATGAATCAGCAATACTTCCCTTAATTGAAGATAGTAGATTTTCTTATTATAGACGTATTTCTGTGTCTTTTCAAGTGATAGGTTTACAGCTTAGTACTTACACAACTTATGAAATGAAATCAAATGAATGTGTAAAGTTCAATAAAAGTGAAATGAAGTTAAGATTTTTTATTACTTTAAATCTTCGTTGCAAAGTGTACTGGGTGATATTAATTTATAAATTAATCAAGTTAAACTATTAATGATAAGCAATGTTTGTTTTTACTTCTGAAACTTCGACTTTCCACTAACCCATAAAATTACATAACGAGAATTATGAAAAAACTTTAGTACCTTTTCTCTCAATGCAAGTAGCCCACGCGTTGATTGATTTTAACAAAGTCCCCTGTAAAGCGAGAGAGGAAGTTTTATGGGAACTGTAAAATGTAAACGATTTCGCGATGGTAGAGCCGGGAGTGACTCGAGTCTGAAATGAAAAATGGGACTTCAGTGACTGAAGCATTGCCTTAGAAGTAATATTATTGGGCTATTCTCAATGTTTATTTTTGTATTTGACAGACATTTGAAATTTAATATATGTTATAACTTTCAAATAAATTGTTAATTTAAATACAACACTTTGACGGTTTTAAACGCTAGTTAAACTTATTTAACTACGGCTTAACATTTCGGATGCTTTGCAGCAACCGTGGTCACGGGGAGACTGAAATTGAAATTGGTAATTACATGTTTTATTTAATATTTATATTTTAACGCACATAAAAGCGATTAAGTGATATAATATAAAGTTAGGGTTTTAAATTTTTATCTGTATTGACGATTATTTCATTTTCATTACCTTGCACCGGTATCTTAGCTAAGCGAAACAAAGTACGGTGGGGTGTATAAATTTGATAGTCTATTTATTTATCTCGTATTCTTCTGTTTCATGGGATAAGATAATTAAATTACCGTGCCATATATCATCATTAATGGTTGTATTTTCATTGTTATAGGCTTCGCGAGCATCGGTATCGTGTTTTAATAGTTCCAATGGCGACTTCCTATCTCAATGATCAAATTGATGTCAGTACCTAAAACATATATATTATTCAGTTGTATTCGTATGGTAATCATTATTTCTTTGACACGAACCAAACGACAGAATATTTAGATTTTGTTGCCCGAGCATAGAACCCCCGACTTTAGGTACCAACGTATGACGTTTTAATAGCAAAACAAAATGTGATTTAAATGTGACACCGCTATAACAGAGTGGCCTAAATGCAATTTTTCGACTTGACTTATTTATATTTGTATAGTCCAAAAATGCTAATCTACAGTGGCCGAAAATTTTTAACTTAATTCACAGTACAAATTCATTTTCACCCAGGGTAATTGTGCATTTATATTTTCCTGCTGATTAAAAATTATATTTTTTCTTATTAAACCACTCTGCTTCCAGCAGCCTCACATTATATAAGTTTTCGGTTAATTTCGAGCTGTATAATCTTGTACCATGAACCTGAACACCTCCTTGACCGACCCTCACAATGGCATTTGCAGGTCTTATTAGCGCCATCCATCACGAACATAACGAGGGTGCGTTACATGACACGCATTTCCAGACCATTCTTGTATTCGATATCTTATGAGACGTTTGACATTTTCTTACCCTCATCATTTCGCATCTCGAAACT